AGAATCATACGGATTCACAGAAAAATGAGGAAGGATGCATCGGTGTGTTGCTGAACGAAGTAAATAACCAAAATGTGCACAAACCTCGAAGAGGATGATGACCCGACTGAGATGATGACCCAACTAAGATAATGATGCAACTAAGATGATGACCCAACTAAAATAGATGTAAACATCTTCTGGTGGAAGTACCACATAATATGTGGTACTATCGCAACTGACCTTATACCTTATTCTCTACTCCTTCATATAGTGTTTTTAGCATATAGTGCAACTTCTCTAACAGTTTCACTCTTCCTTTGCATAGTTCTTGTTGACTGTGGTTAATCGATCCAGGTCACAATCAATATATTTGGAGGGTTTCCATGGTGTCACAGCTTCAAATGAGCATTAACCTCAGTTTTTTGCCTTCATCTTTCTTTCTGTTTCTTTTGATTTGTTGACACGTCTTCCATATGAGGGATTTGTTTGATAAAAATACATACTCACACATATACGCATATATATTATGTATATATAAGGGAATTTTTTAAAGTGACCATAATTTTTTAAAGTGTTAACTTCACTTGTCACTTAAATTTAAATAATGCAAATGATATGCTCTCTCCACATTTTATTCGTTATAGATGTTAAGTTTTTTAATCTTGAATGGTTCTTGTTTAGATTAGTCAAAATCGAATAGGCATAAAATAGAACTTATAGCATATCTGGTTGTTCACAGGATACACATTGAACATTTTAATAAGCTTTTGTAATTTTAAAGCAATTGTGTCATGTTTTATCTAATTTCGAATTTTAAGTATTGAGTAACATAGAATTTTATTGTTCTGAGATATATATGTGTTAAGGACAACGCGAGAAGGATTTTTTTATTAAAGTAAATAATAAGTTGTTAATAAAAATTCTATTAATAAGATCGGAGCTTCTACATTTTAAAATCAAATTTATTTCATATTTCAATTCATTGGAATCATCAAGTATAATGTGGTTTGCAAATGATTTCGTTATTGAGATATCTAGTTTGACTGACAAAAGTTTTTGGACTTCTCACCATCCACCAGTTTTTCAGTGAAAATTTCAATCCCAAGTGCTAAGCATAATTTTCATGTGAAATGGAAACGAGCACTGCTATAGTTCATGGTAAGGATTATGGAATATTAGGGCCTTCTTATTGTAATTTTTTGAGTTCTTTGTAAACAAACTTTAATTCAGCAAGGGAAGATTGCAAAAACTTATGTGAATTACTAATTTTTGTCGCATCGTATTCGCAACTTGGAAATTTTTATCACTCATAATAATTCGTTCTTTTCTAGAGGCATCTTCAGCATTTGATCCAGATCGAGAAATGAAAGATCGTAAATTGGCCCAGATATTCAAAAAATTGCACATGGAACAAGTATGTTGGCTGCCTTTTCATTTCTCTATTGCACGTTCTAAATCACTTAATTCTCTAATATTAAGTTGTGATGGGAGGTATTCATGCAATACTCTAATATTCATACACTGTTGTAATTCGTGAAATGTAATTCATTTTAAAATGATTGTTTTCACTCTGTCAGCTATATGCTATCTTGTGGAGATAATCAAAGGATTTATTATTTCCTGGTTATAGTATATTAAAAGGATGGTTTACTATTTATAAAAATTTGGTAACAGTCTTACTAGCAGTTAAATAATTTGCATCCGTAGTTTAAACCTGACGAACAATGTACGTATGTGATGCTTATGTCGTATGCGTATGAAATGTGAATGTTTGCTTTCTTTTAGGATTTAAACACATTGTTGGATTTTGATGTTCCTCGTCCATCGAAAGTTCCTTTAAATCATGCAGAGGAATTAAGTAAAGATAAAGCCGAACGTTGTAGACCACGTAAAATACTTGATTACGCTGTACTTGCGAAAGGACAAAGTACTTTTTTTATCATTGAATTATCAGAAACTGTGCTGGAATTAGTAAAAAGCAGCTTATTATCTGTTGCTGCACTTTTCTGCCCAGAAAGTTGTGGAATAAAAAAAAGATATACTAGCAAAGCTTACCTTTAGATTAATTAACTTTGATAAATTCGAAAACTGGATGTACAATGCTCATAATAGCTATTTTAATGTGAAATCTTTTTTCTTCAGGTTATCGTAATAATCTTGTGGGTTCTTTTGCAAGCAGCTACTCAGAAACGGGTGGCTCCAGTAAAACTGGAGCTGGTAATAAGCGAATACGTTTTCAAAAAGATCGATTTGGCAATAATATTCCACCACTTAATACCAAACGGCGTTCTCGATGTGGCCGACATGCTTCTACTCCTCAAAAAAGTAGCAAATCGCAACGTTTTTCATTTCCACCGGCAACAAATGGTGCTAGGAAGAAGGAAACAATGAGATCACGAAGTTTTACTTATGGTATCAAAAGAGGTATCTTGAAAAGGCGCACAAAAGATGTGAGCAATATTAAGCAAGCATTTGTCATTTCGAAAAAACTACTAGATGCGCAAAATCAGGATTTTGATGAATTCATTCTTCCTGAGAAATGGATCAAAGAATCACAGAAAAGAAAGAATGTAAAGAAAATAAAAACAGCAAGGGAAGAGAGCACCAGTAGTGCATCTGTTGAAGATTTGGCAATGGAGCGTCTTGTTAGAGCTTTTAAAACCGCAAAACTTTTATATCCCGAGAAATTTGCTGAGTATTTCCCAGATTTTGTGCATTGTTTCGAATCAGATGACAGTCGAGAAAAGCGAGATATACCAAAGCAAACGCACTTTAAAACAATTAAAAGTGAAGAGGATGCTATGAAATTCGACAAAAATATTGCGTCAGATTCTGGTGATGATATGCCAAAACGAATTCGTAAAGTGCCAAAAATTTTACGAGAGTACTCAACAGGTGCTGAAATAGCAAGGAAGAAGTTGGCTAATTTGAAAGAACAGATTCCTTCGGTGACACAGAAAATTTCAAGTATTGGTGGTCCTTTAGCTGGCACATCAGGACTTCGTAAACGTTCTCGAGCACCAGATTCACCATCGAATCAGTCGATGCTTTCTAAATCTCAAGAAAATGGAAAAATTGAAGATGTGAAAGAGACGGATGATTCGGATGAAATGGGTAGTGTTGCAATATCGAAAAGACGTAGATCTTGTAAGAGTGGTTTTCGTCTCAGTGCTTCAATTATGAAAGCTACAAATGCAGCAGCTGTTCAGAATAATATTGAAGATAGTGCAACAGAATCTTCATCTGATGAATCAGGCAATATGCGTTCATCAAAGAGACAACGAGCTCAAAGTGGTTTTTACAAGTATGTATTCTCATTTATATTCAACCAAATACTTAAAAATAGAGCAGTCTTTATGAGAGCTAATAATTTGGCCAAATTTTCTTGTGATAGTTTGTTCCATTGGTGTTAGTTTATACATATATTTTTCGATGAAAGACATTGGTTGTATCGCTAGCGGAAGCTCAAAAATTAAGTTATTATATATATAATTAAATTTTTATGTATATTATATATATATCTTTGATGTATTTTATAAAACCGTACTTCAATGTATCGTTAATCTTTGAGTTTGATTAGATAGGTGAATTTGCCTTTAAATAATTATTTACTTGATCTGGTTTAGATTTTATTTTTCAGGACAATGGTGACATTGTACGACAAAAAACGTTCATGAGCGTTTGTTTCACTCTGTGAATTGACGAGACGAAGAGAAATAGTTGGCCTAAATTGTATGCATAAACTTAAAAGCATTCGATGTTGTTTTCTAAGTATTTATTGTTCCTACAGTGATTTTTGGTATTTTAAGTTGTATCCCGAATTTTGTTAAAACTCGGAGTTCTAAATCTGATGAGGAACTGCAACATTTAGCATTCAAATAAAATTCAAATTTTTTTTTTTCAATTTTCCGAGACTATTTCATTTCCTATTGAGGCGCATTCCTTTCATTATCTGACTTACCTTAAGCAATTCGTATAAGAAATTATTTAAACAATACTAACTTGGTCCTACTTCATTGAACATATATCTAAGTTTTCAAGAATCTATTAAACTGTGGGAATAGTTTATTGAGTTATTAAAAAAATTTTCTTTAAGAAGGAGTTAAATTACTAGTCTTATTGCTAACCAAGGTATGTTTGGTGCCAACAGTTGATCTCATCAGTATTGTTCTTGTTTGAGAGAAAGGCATACATTTTCGTTTTTTTTTTTTTTTTTCTTTTTCTTTTTCTTTTTTCATTGTTTATGACAATTTATTATAGTGTAATTCGAGAAAGTTTATGTTTCGATTTCTTTTTTTTTTTTTTATCTCCTGGTATAATATATACTTTATTTTGCATATTGGCGCCATTGATTTTCTCTGTTATCATTTATTTTCAGGTAGTTATGAGTCATCGAGCTAGAGATTGAACATATGCTTTTTTTTCTTCCCTATCTAACACATTAGATATTAATCTGATATTGTGCGAAAATTATTTAATAAATTTTGTTGAAAAATGTCATTATTATTATTATTGAAGTGATATTTTTTTTTTTTTCTAAATTCTAAACTGAATTTTTTTTTTTTGAATTTAAAATTTAGATAGTTGTCTGTATTCTTCTCAACATTTCTCTTTACTTTTGTTGAATACAAATTATAGCACAGAATATTCTATGTCTTTTCTAGTAGTTTTTTTGAAGCAAATTATCTGTTAGAATAAATACCATATAAAAAGCTACAGAACTACTACTGCAACAATATCAATAATTATATTATAATTAAACCCATAACGGTATAATAAATTATGAAGATATCATTGGAAAAAAAAAAAAATGAATTCTCTGAAAATTTTCAAATTATTTATTGATTTTGATACAAAAAAAAAAAAAAAAACGAAAAGAAAAATTTTCGAAAAAAAATATTTCGCTGTATATCTCTTAAAATTTAAGCAAAATACTTTTATTCATTATAAAGTTAACAGAAATTAATACATTATAAAGTTTATTCATTATAAAGTTAACAGAAATTAATACAAACATTTTAAACTTTTGTACGATGTCTTCTAATCCATTGTTTTTGATTTAAATTTAAATTAAAATTACAAGCAGGTAAGAATGCATAGCAGCTAATATCCATCATAGAAACAAGACAAAAATTGGTAGCTCGAGCAAGATAACTATAAAAACCAGTACCACAAATAACATTACATGGTATTTCCATTTCTGTTTCACAAACATTATAAATAGCTTGCTTTGATGCTTCTGCGTCACGTTCCACAATATTCTTTAACAAATTTAATTATTATTATTATTATTATTTCAAATAAAACTAATTAAATTATCATTACAAACATATATATATTATTTTTATCTTATTGATCAATTTTGTAATCCTTAAATGTTTATCATTAATTAATTAATTATAATCTTTAAATATCTATCATTAATTAGTTAATTGTAACTCTCAAATATTCATCATTAATTAGTTAATTATAACCCTTAAATGTTTATTATTAATTAATTAGTTAGATAGTTACAATCTTTGAATATTCGCCATTAATTAGTTAATTAGATAGTCATGGATTCTTTTTTGTCACAATATTTTTTTACTTTTTTTACCAAAATATTAATAACAATAATTATGGATAGATATAAATTTATTTATGTTTAAATTATCTAATAATAATAATTTTTTCTTAAATATTTTAATATTTATTACGTTGAATATTTATTACATGGAATATTTAATATTTATTACGTGGAATATTACGTGATGGATCAAAATATTAATAACAATAATTATGGATAGATATAAATTTATTTATGTTTAAATTATCTAATAATAATAATAAGAATAATTCTTCCTTAAATATTTTAATATTACGTGAAATATTACGTGACAAAATATACATATATATTAATTATAATATATTAATACCTGTAAAATAATTTCTTTTAAACGTGGACTATTGCATCGTTCATCCTCAATGAAACCAAACGGATTTCCATTATCAATTTCACATGGATCATTGATGCAATTAGGCTAAATTAATTCTAAATTTAATTTGTCATTTTTACATTCTTCTTTTTATATATAATAAATTTATTCTAAGAAAGATTTATTCATTTATTTTTCTTTTCTTTCTTTTTACAAAATTGAAAATTTCTTTTTCGATTATAAAATGAAAGAAAAAATATTCATAAAATTTAATATGAGGTATTTTTATTGAACGTTTACTTAAGATTTTATATGAAATGTATACATTATCCTGTATATATGAATAAAAAGTAAGTATTTCAATTATAAAAAAAAAAAAAAGACTTTATAAAGTAATACTTACATTTACTTCGGGTATGTATGATGCTGTATCAATGTTATAATCATTGGACATTAATTGAGTTAAGGGTTGTTCAAAGTTTGCTCTTCCTCCGTATCTATCACCAAACTTTTGATCAATTCTGTTATTTTGATACATACGGTTTTCCTGATAGTAATCCGGTTGTTGTGATGGTGGATACACTTGCACCGTATGTACCGATGCTTCTGTACTTTTTGGATTTGGTGGTGGTGGAAGGTGTTCAGTTGCTTCAGCTCCATTTGAAAGCATTTGTTGTGCAGAATTCAAACTTCTTGCAAATTGCTGATAGTCATATGAATTTGGTGCAATTCCGGATGATTGCATTTGCCTGAATAAATTGATACAAATCCGTTTAGATGAATTTAGATCAAAATGTATGACAGTTCCTTATTATATCACTATGATAATGAAATTAGTTGAACTCCTGAAGACAGTTAAAATTTTACTATAATCAGTAATAAGCATGATAATAGGATAAATTTAGTTGTTGATAAGTTTACTGTTATCAGTGATATGTGTTACCTAATTTGAGGAGTATATTCAAATGCATTATTGTTGCTTGATTCATTTACCGGTATGAACGGATTACTCATACTGTTTAGATTGGTTGCTCCATATTCGTTTGATATTGCATGTCTTCGATTCTAAGAAACACTGATAATGATAAAAAAGTGATAATGATCACAGTGATAATGCTATTATTGTTATCAGTAATAGGACATAACATAAAACTTTAGTTTATATATACTTTATCATATTAAAACTTAAAAAAAAAAGAGGTGTTGTTACACTTACATATTGTGGCATCACTTTATCATAATCAGTGATAAATGTTTCCCAGTCATTAAATGTGACATTAATCTAAAAATACAATCTCTGATAATATTCAAAAATATACCAAACTAATACTTTTTAATTATATGATTGTAAATGATTAATTTTTTGCTTCTATTTGAATTTTAAATGAATTTCACATATTATTATCACTGAACTGAATTAATTAAGCTATAATTTGTTCAAATAAAATTAACAATTCAAATTATTGAAATAATTTCAAAATTGTTTTTGATAATGATTATTTATTTGAAATTCAAATTAATCATACTACTAGCAAACAATACTAATAAAACAAACTGGATCGATTAAACTTTCTCGTTGTTTCTTTCGTTGATCATTTAACAATAAAATTGTCCTATTGTTGTCAACAACAATTTGATTTGCATTTGTAGCGCTATTGTCCTCCTTATGCTTTTGCCTTTGATGATGAAAATTTTGAATGCTTCGAAATGCCTATAATTATACATTTTACATTATATTTATTTAAATATTGCTAGTAATAATTAATAAATGAATTATAATTTACCGCCATTGTGCGATCATTTGCGCCATCATTTAGAGATTATTATAATTAATTTTTAATAATAGATTAATCCTGCAAACATTTGATATGCTTAATGAAGCCTAAATCAATTAAATCAATTTTCAGCTCATTGCTTTAAATATTATTGAAAAATTATTCGAAACTTTTTTTTTTTTTGTCTTAACTCTGAATATTAACTTAATTCTAGTATTAACTTCAAATTTAAGGTATTTTTTTTTAGGTTAATAAGATTGATTGTATAAACAAATAAGTAATTTGATAAGTTAATCAATACATAACAAAATTCTAATACTTTTCATTATGATAACGATCAAAAGCTAACATTCATACCTTGTAGAGGCGCAATCGTCTTTCGCGTATTTTCTTCCAATTTTCCAAATTTTTTGCATGTTTTTGTGAATTTATTAAATTTGGATTGCTTATTTCAGTTACTATTGAAGCTGTTTGATAATTTGGCTGAATTTGTGATATCTGATATTGATTATCAGATATCAATCCACTCTGATATTTCTTATCAGCTATTTGTAAATCATCTTGAGATGTGTTATTTAGCCTAAACAATACCATTTTTTGTGAATTTTCACTCGAAAATTTGTTTAATTTTTCCAATAAAGATTGTCTAATAGCAGATTGCATTTTATACTGATCATTAAGTAATACTAACTCTTGTAAGTTTGATAATTCTGATAATGGTTCGAGACTTTTAGATGATGAAAAAATTATTGAAAAAATAAAGAGCATTGTTAGCTTAGCCATTATTAATCTGTTAGCCTGAAAAAAAAAAAAATTAAATTAAAAAAAATGAATGAATGAATGATAAATAAAGTTAATATTATCAAAAAAAAAAAAAAAATTTATAGCTAATAAAATTGTTATTTTAGAAATTATCCGGAAAAAATCATAAACCATAAAAAAAACAATAAAGTTAATTGCCTCATAATTATCAGAATTATTACTTAGAAGTTATCTGGTAGAATCCATAAGACTAACATTTATTAAAATGTACAAAAATTTTATCAAACAAATAATATAAGTTAATTTACTAGTAAAAGTTTAATTAGATAAATATCACTAAATAAGCATTAGCATTGGTAAACAAAGGTTTATTTAATAAGCTTCATAATAATCTGAGCTAATTACTGTTACTTCAGTAGACTTGTATTTACAATTTTATAAGTAAATTCAAAAAAAAAAAAGTAATTTAAAAAAAAAAAAGTTCAATAAAAAATTAAACTTCATTTCTCTTTCACAAAATATAAACATAATAAAATTAATTGTTTAAAATAATGAATTAAAATTGACAATAAAATAAAAAAATAAATTTATCAATGACATATTTAAATTATAATATTAATGTATTAGCATTCAAAAGAAAAAAAAAATATCACATTCTTTATTATTCATTTAGTAATATCAAATTTTTTCAAATTCTTTTTTTTTTTTTCAAATAATTAAAATAGCAACAAAGAAATGATAATATTAATAAAATAAAATAGAATAAACAATATTAATAATAAAAATAGGAAAATTTGCTATTAAGAATAAAGAATATTAATAATAAAAATTGGAAAATTTGCTATTAAGAATAAAGAATATTAATAATAAAAATTGGAAAATTTGCTAATAACTGTTAATAAAATAATATTAAATAAATTTATTTAACAATTAATGTAAAAACTAATTTAAAAAAAAAAAAAAAAATGTCATTTCAAATTGACAAATGTCAACTTAATCGAATTTTATAGAGAACAAAATGTTGTGTTAAATATGAATATGAAATTAGTTCCTTGTATTTAAATGCATTTGAAATTTATTTACAAATGATACAATTTATATTTTGTCATTTATGGGTGACATGAAATTGTTGACCTACCAAGGAAGAAGAAGTATGTATGGGACACGATTTTACTCTCAAACATTAAATACAAACTATATTTTTGGTTCCATATTATTATTATTTATTGTTTGTTCATTCGTTTTTTTTTTTTTTTTTCTGTAAAATTTAAAATTTATTTAAAATTTTAAACAATCCATTTTTTTTTTAACTTTATAAAACTTTGAATAGTTCTTTCTTTTTTTTTTCAATTTTATAAAATTTTGAGCAATTCTTTTTCTTTTCTTTTTTTTTTTTTTCGTTAATCTCTGTCAACTATAAAATATATTTGCCTTATTTTTAGTTTATTTATGAATTCTTTTTTTTTTTTTTTTTTTGTTTACTTTATTTAAATTTATTTTTTGGTAAATAGAATGAAGTATACTATCCTGAAAGTAGATCATCAGCTCAAATTGTTAATTCAAACTTAATTTAATTCAGACGTTAGAAAAAGTTCATAAAAAAGTTCGTTGTTTTTTTTTTTTTTATTTCAATGACAAATTAGTTTATTAAATATTATTCATAATCTAATTGCTGTTATTGTGTTTCTTTTTTCGCTAATTAATTGTTATCTTGCTAATTAATTAATTAATTAATAATTCATTAATAAATAATACTATAATCTTATTTAATGTTATCATATTTAATTCATATCCAATTCCTATTTATTAATATTCAATTCTTATTTGTTCATATTAAATTCAAATTTATCCATATTTAGCAAAATGTAAACAAATATAATGCACATAAAATAATTAAATATGTATATTTTTAAATGAATTATATTTTGATAACATTGCTGGTACTTAATTAAAACAGAGTTTAGCAAAATTATAATTTTAAAAAAGTTTTTTTTTTTTTTTTTTTTCACAGCATTTTAAAAAAAGAAAAAAAAAATGTGAAATGAATTTTTCTCCAAATATTTAAACTGTTCAATTAAAACATTGATCAACATCCTATCAATTTATTAACTAACTTATCATGATCGCTTTACAAATCCCTTTTTTTTTTAGATTAACTTTTTATATTTGTTTTTTTTTTTTTTCAAAATAACATATAGTAAACAAATTATTAAATTATAATTAATTGTAATATGTGAAAAAGTTAATTAAATTCATATTTGATTTACATTCATTTCTATTTAATTCATATTTAACAGAATGTAAACAGATCAAGTATAATGCACATAAAATAATTAAATACATATATTTTTAAATGAATTTAGCAAATTTAAAGTTTTTTCCGAGAATTAAATCTTACAAAAATGCTTAAAACTTATTAAACTTTCTCCTAAAGATACATAACAAAATTTGTAATTAAAATTAATTTTATGGTCAAAAATTATTAGAAATCATTTCTGATTGCAAATATATATTAATTTTTACATTATAACGCTGCTCTGAAGTGAATTTTTTAAATTTTTCTTTTTTTTGGCATAGATTATCAAATATCCATTTCGTATTAAAATCCTATTCAATTCATATTTAATTCTATTTTATGCATATTTCTTATTTATTCATGTTTATTTCATATTTATTCATATTTAATTCATATCTGATTCGCATTCATTCACATTTAACTTATATTCATATTATTTTGAATTATTATTATTTGAATTATTATTATTATATTCATATTAGTTTTGAATTAGTTTGAATTATTATTTTATATTGTTATACTTTTTTATAAACTATTATTATTTTAAAATTTATTATTTAAAATTGTTATTGGTAAATTGCATATTTCGTTTTGATTCCCGAAGAATTTGCCTGCGATCAATTGTAAAAGACGTTCGTTCATTAATTGAAGTTGTTTGATGGAGCAGTGGGAAGGAATTAATTTTGTCCTTGAACTGCTTTTATGGATGTATCTTTGTCATTTTGTTTGATTCGTAGTAAATAGTAGTAATTAAAAAATTATTTTATAAATTATTTATTTAAAAAAAAAAACTGTTTTATTATTTATTTAAATTATTAACATTTTTTGCATGTACGAAAGTTTAATTCGAATTAATTATGGTAAAAAATCATTATTATTTGAGTTTCAATTCTAACTCAATTCTAATTCCAATTACAATTCAATTTCTGTTTTATTCCTCTTTTTTAAAAATTCCATTTTTTTGATTTTTTGAGTTTGTATTTTATTTCTAATTTTACACTAAATATATTTCTATTTGTACATACTATTTTTATCAAAATGATTTGTGCTACTGTTTCAATTTTAATTTTAAAGTATGATTTATACTTATTTTATTGACTAATTATACTTTACACATTTATATTCGATCATTTTATTTACACAATATTTCTACCAAATCTGTATTCTCATGTTAATTTCATTATAAATTCTTCGAAAGATAATTTATCGTATCATTTTACTTAACCTTTAACCTTCGTCGTACCACTACTACTGACAGGTATATTTTAACAGTTTGAAATATGAAAAAAAAAAATCATTCTCAATCCATTGATAAATATTACTAATGATAATTAATTACAGGACATTTGAAATTGAAAAGCAACATTCTTAATCATCAATTGTCGTGCAAAAGACATTTGCGCTAAAATGAAAAAGAATTCAGCGCCATTATTAATATTTATTTTGCTTCTATTTGATCTTATTGCATTCACTTCTATTTTACCACTTTTTCCAGCCTTAATCGATTATTATGGATTAATAGAACGACGAGTAAGTATAATATAATTTAAAAAAAAAAAAAAAAGAAATAAAATTGGTATACTTCAAATTAGTAATAAATTATTTGTCACATTTCAAAAGCAAAAAATTATATCTCTAAAAGCAATCATTAATTAGTTTTATTAAGATAACTCTATTGTTTTTTTTTTTAAACTTTATTTGAGTGTTGTCACAAATTTCTTCGAGAAATGTTTCGATGTTATTTACAATATTTTATTGTTGCTATTGCATAATTAAAACTTAAAAGATATAAAATTGTTAAAGTATAAAAAAAAATTTTTGTAAGAAATAAATGCATTAATTTGAGATCTATCAAATATATATAAGTTCGAGCACATCTAACGAAATGTTAAATCTAATAAAATTAGGAAAATTTTATCAAATTGTTTCATTATTATTATTATTATTATTATTATTATTATTTATGTTTTTTTTTTGTTGTAAAATAATAATTTTTTTTTTTGCAAATTATTGCAAAATAATTGAATAATTCTCGCATAAATTATTAAATAGTAATTATTAATTTAGGATCAATTATATGACGGAATTGAAATATTTTGTCAATTTTTTCAAAATACCATTGGTACACCATCCTCAAAACATCTTCATTCGGTTTTTTTTGGTGGTAAATTTTTGAAAAAAAAAACTTTTAATTTACAACTTTTAATTCTCTAGCATAAACAAGAAAATTAACGCATTTTATTCAAATTTATTTGCCATATTATGATCTTCAGGAAGTATTTTTGTGGAATATATACGATTTATAAACATTTGGAATTAAAAATTTTAATTGAATTTTAAAATTTGAAAAATTTAGAAATATAAAATTATTTCAAGGTATTTTGGGTTCACTTTATTGCTTACTTCAATTTTTATCCTCACCTTTACTTGGTGCATTATCTGATATTTATGGACGCAAACCAATTCTATTACTGTCAATTGCTGGAACATTACTTTCTTATATAGTAAGTTATTGTTTAATGATAAATTTTAATTTCAAATTGGCTACTAATTTGAAATTTAATTTTTTAAATAAATAAACTTTTGATTCATTTGCAAAGATTTTTCACTCATTTACTAACTTTTTTTTTTTTTTTTTAATTATAAAAGAAAAATATTTTCAATATTTCAATGAAAAAAATATTTCAATTGAAAATCAAAATGCAATAAAAATATTTTAATTAATTTCTTCCTTTCATTTATGGCCTTGTACCAAGCAGATATGGGCCAGTACAAATAGTTTTATCTACTTTGTATTATCACGAATAGTTGGTGGTTTGAGTAAAGCTAGTGTTTCAATTTGCATTGCAATTATGGCTGATGTTTATTCGCACAACAAAATTGGCCAAGGCATGGTAAGTGGTCAAGTAATTAATTCTTGTAGCTAAATTTAAACTTATTGATAAAAATATTGTTAAATATTAGTGGCTAGCACTGACATGAATCAATCTTATCAAAAATGATATTATTTAATTTAGCATTCTATTATCAGTTCCGCGTCTATTTAGTACTTATTACAATAAAATAATTGATAATTTTGTTGGTAAATTTTTTAATATATTTTAGAAATTATTGGTGCAACAATTCAAATTTTAAATATACTTTTAGGCTATTATTGGTGTAGCATTTCAATTTTTGTAATTTTAGGCTATTATGCAGCATTGCAAATTTTAAGTATAATTTTAGGTTATGATTGGTGCAGCATTTCAATTTTTGTAATTTTAGGCTATTATTGGTGCAGCATTTCAAGTTTTAAGTATAATTTTAGGCTATTATTGGTGCAGCATTTCAAATTTTAAGTATAATTTTAGGCTATTATTGGTGCAGCATTTCAAGTTTTAAGTATAATTTTAGGCTATTATTGGTGCAGCATTTCAAATTTTAAGTATAATTTTAGGCTATTATTGGTGCAGCATTTCAAGTTTTAAATATATTGTTAGGCTATTATTGGCGCAGCATTTTAATTTTTGTAATTTTAGGCTATTATTGGTGCAGCATTTCAAGTTTTAAGTATAATTTTAGGCTATTATTGGTGCAGCATTTCAAGTTTTAAGTGTAATTCTAGGCTATTATTGGTGCAGCATTTCAAATTTTAAGTATAATTTTAGGCTATTATTGGTGCAGCATTTTAATCTTTGTAATTTTAGGCTATTATTGGTGCAGCATTTCAAATTTTAAACATAATTTTAGGCTATTATTGGTGCAGCATTCTCGATAGGCTTTCTAGTTGGTCCTATAATTGGTGTTTATTTTTCACATACAGCTAATGCTGGTATTGAATTAGCTATCGATGCACCAGCTAAATTTGCTATTTTATTATCAATCATTGAACTTATCTTTGTTGCACTAATTTTACCTGAAACGCTTGAAATCTCAAAAAGGGTTAATTAGCAGTATTAATTACAATAATTCAATTGTCTTTATCAATTTTATGTTGATTTTTACGTTAATTTCATCAAGTCTACGTTATTTTTATCAACTTTACGTTAGTTTTCACGTTAATTTCATCAAGACTACGTTATTTTTATCAACTTTACGTTAATTTTACGTTAAATTTATCTAGTTTCCTTGATTTTATCAGCTTTACGTTAATTTTATCTACGTCAACTCCATCAAGTCTACGTTATTTTTATCAACTTTACGTTAGTTTTCACGTTAATTTCATCAAGACTACGTTATTTTTATCAACTTTACGTTAGTTTTACGTTAAATTTATCTAGTTTCCTTGATTTTATCAGCTTTACGTTAATTTTATCTACGTCAACTCCATCAAGTCTACGTTATTTTTATCAACTTTACGTTAGTTTTCACGTTAATTTCATCAAGACTACGTTATTTTTATCAACTTTACGTTAATTTTACGTTAAATTTATCTAGTTTGCCTTAATTTTTATCAACTTAACGTTAATTTTACGTTAAATTTATCTAGTTTGCCTTAATTTTTATCAACTTTACGTTAATTTTACGTTAACTTCATCAAGTCTACGTTACTTTTATCAACTTTACGTTAATTTTGAAAAATTAATTTACGTAAAGTTTTCAGTTACATCATTTAAATGAATGCTTAAAATATTGATAAGAGAGAAAAAAAAGATGACATCGCCAATTTTTCGTCACCGTTACACCAATACTTTTTAAGAAGACAGTGGTGATAAATTCAAATTAAACTAAAAATTGAAAATGGCTTCTTAAATTATGAAAAAATAATAAATACTATTTCATTATACTTCTATATAAATTATTAATGATTTCAAAAAAATAAAAAATAAAATAATTAATAATTCAAAAAAAAAAAATCAATGATAACTTTTTGATTTAAAATAATTTTTTTTTTCTCTAGAAGACGTTAATTAATGAAGTATTTGAAAATTGTTTATTGTATATCAAACCGAGTGCACTTTTTAGATTTGCTGCTGTTAATAAACATTCAGGTAAGATAAAATTTTGTATAAAATTTCAATTTCTTTTAAACAACTCAACTAAATTGTTTATAAATTACAATAAATTTTTATTTTAAAATTTGGGAATTTAACATATTAGAATTTTTTGATAAATTTCATATTTTATTACTAATTATGCTATTTTACAATAATTAAAAATAAACATTTGATTTTATTTTTTATTTAATATAAATTAGGGAAAGGATTATTTGAAAAAAAATTTAATTTACTACTTCAATCTTTCAAGTTAAATCATTTAGAAGTGAAATTAATGCAATCATATGGACGAGCCTATTTTGTTTATATGTTTTTTTATTCGGGTCTTGAATTTACACTATCATTTTTAACACATACTCGTTTTAATTATGATAGGTTTATTATTATTATTTTTTTTTATTTTCAAATATTTTTTTGTTTATTTGTTTATTTCGAATATTTATCTGAAATGCTAGTGCTATCAAATAAATTGTAAGCATAATTTTCATTAAATTATATTAAAGTGGAGAGAAAAAAAGTGAGATATTCTGCTTGATTAACTAAAATTTTTAGCATTTTAAATTTGTAAAATTTCAGTAATAAATTGTAAATTTATAAAATTTCAGTAATAAATTGTAAAATTTTTTTTTTTTTGTTGTAAAATAAATTTATTAAATTTGAATAGTAATAATTGGTAATTTTTCTAATTAACAAGAAATTAGAAATTTAAAAGAAATTAGAAAAATTAAACAAGAAATTTAAATTAACAAGAAAATATTTGTGTACATTGTTTTAATTTAAGTTTTAATTTAATTTTTAATTTAAATTTAATTTAAGAATTTATAAATGTTAAATGTGCTAAATGTTGTTTACCACAAATTTTATCACTCATTTCAGATTTAAAAATGTTTTTTTTTTCTTTTTCAGCATGCAACAAGGCAAAATGTATTTATATATTGGTATTTTAATGACAATAGTTCAAGGTAAATAGTAGTAAAGTTACATTTTAGTAATAACTTGTAATAATAATTTAAATTTGATAAAAAATGTAATATATTTAAATAGAATGAAGAATAAATAGATCAAATTTTTTTTATTAAATTATTTTTCGTTTCATTTCTTTTCTTAAAATTTTTGTGATAAAATTATTAATCAAATTAAAAAAAAAAATTTGAAGGTAATTTTCAAATTATTGATTTACTCTTAGTATTTTGTTAAATTACAAATTTCCATTTTAATCGTTAAAAAGTTTAAATATTTAAATTTGCTGATGAAAATTTATTTAGGAGGAATTCGTCGAATTCCAAATACTAAGCATCACAAAACAGCTATTTATGGTATTGCATTTACTATACCAGCATATATTATCATTGGATATAGTAGCAGCGCAAAAGGTTTTTATATTGGTTTGGCGCTTTATGCAATAGGTAAGGTGGTTTTCTGCGACAAATGCGCCAAAAAAAGAAATGATTCACTTTAACATTTTTCATATAAGAATTATCTGCTAAAATTTCTTATCAAGATTTTTCATCTTTCTTATCTTCTTTACTTAATGAAATTGTTTACTTTCTCATCTGTAATTACTTATTCTAAATTATATAATAAGTAACTGAACGATTGATGTTACTGATCCGTTTTTTTATTTCTTTTTTTGTAAACGAAATTGCTAGAAATATAGAAGTTATTATCCGGAATTGAATGGCCAACTAAAAATATAGAAATTATCATGCGGAATTGAATGGCTAACTAAAAATATAGAAATTATCATGCGGAATTGAATGGCCAACTAAAAATATAGAAATTATCATGCGGAATTGAATGGCTAACTAAAAATATAGAAATTATCATGCGGAATTGAATGGCTAACTAAAAATATAGAAATTATTATGCGGAATTGAATGGCTAACTAAAAATATAGAAATTATCATGCGGAATTGAATGGCTAACTAAAAATATAGAAATTATCATGCGGAATTGAATGGCTAACTAAAAATATAGAAATTATCATGCGGAATTGAATGGCTAACTAAAAATATAGAAATTATCATGCGGAATTGAATGGCTAACTAAAAATATAGAAATTATCATGCGGAATTGAATGGCTAACTAAAAGTATGACAGCATTTCAGCATCAAGTTTAGTAGTTCCATGCATGACCTCTTGCATATCAAATGAAGCGACGGATGATGTCAAAGGTGTCACAATTGGTGTTTTTCGATGCTTAGGTGCATTAGCTCGAGCTATTGGCCCACTTTTTGCATCAACAGGTTGACACATTCAAATCAAATAATTCCATTTTATTTTGTGCAAAAAAAAAAAAAAAAAAATTTAATTTAAAAATTTTTTAAAATCTTTTTTTATTAAATTAAACTTTTTTTATTTAAATTTATTTAATTTCAGTATTTTGGCTTTTTGGACCAACAATATGCTATGTCATTGGAGGTGTATTATTATTTATACCTTTATTTATGCTAAGGCAGCTTTCATTTGGAATAAATGAAATAAAAGAAGAGTAATTACTTCAAAATTTTACTTTCGTATTTTTTATTATTTTGTATGTCTATAAAAATTGTCACATTATTTGGTTTTTATTTGAAAATTATAATCTTTGCATTTGTTTAAATTATTATTTTGTGTTTTTATTTTTCAATTAGCATAAAAGTTTTCAAGTTCATATTCACTTACAAGATTGAATTATGATAGAATTTAAAGTTAAATAAATACTTTGTATTTTTTATTTACAATATTAAAAATTTTTATTTATAATACTATGAAAGAAAAAAAAGATGAAATAATCTTTTCATCTTTCTGTAAGAAAGATAAAATAGCATTCTTCAAAGAAACATTATCTCAAATATTCTTTTGAGACTATGAAAATTTTCTCATCAATAAAATTTCAAATAGTATTTCTTTAAAAAAATAAAGTAAAAAATAAAATATTAAAAAAAAAAATTTAAAAAAAAGAAAAATATTAAAAATTTGGAGGAAATTTTTATTAGAAATGGAAAATTTTATCATTACTATTTATTTTGCTTTTAAATATTAGAAGTAGTTAAATGTAAAATTAGAATAAATGAAATTGAAAATTATAACAATCATTCAATTTTAAAATATATGAAATTTCCTGCCGATATATTTATTTTTTTTTTTAAAAAAATATAAAATGTATTTTATGATTTTTACAATGTTTCGAATTTTTTTTAATTCAATAACAAATGAAAAAGTTATTGTTTCAACAGATAAACAAACAAAAGTAACTAATTGAATTGGTTAGTAGTCGTTCATTTGGTTCAAATTAAATTGTAAAAATATGAAAAAAAAAAAAGTGCATCGATATTTTTAAAATATTTTAAATTTGTTTTAATACTATTAGAAAAAAATTTGCATCATAAAATAATCGAAATTTCATTTATCACGAATAATTATCACTTATTTCTAAATATTCTGCTACTTTTATTTAATTATGAATTAGTTATTTCGATCTCTAATAAATATTAAATAATTAATACCAACAAAAAAAGATATTTATTCATTATTCAATTTCAAATTTAACGATATTTATTCATTATTCAATTACAAATTTAACGATATTTATTCATTATTCAATTACAAATTTAACGATATTTATTCATTATACAATTACAAATTTAACGATATTTATTCATTATTCAATTACAAATTTAACGATATTTATTCATTATTCAATTACAAATTTAACGATATTTATTCATTATTCAATTACAAATTTAACGATATTTATTCATTATTCAATCACAAATTTAACGATATTTATTCATTATTCAATTACAAATTTAATAATCATTTTTGGTTTTCTCGATACTTTCATTCATATTTAATGAAATTAAAACACAATGATAAATTTGCCAAAAACTTTTTAAATTTCAATACCAATCGAAAAACATAATATCGCTGATCATAGTTTTAAGGTGATCTGAACTTTAACCTTTCCCATTTTGATGGCGCTATCTGTCTTTCGAGAAATACAATGAATTAATATTGAGAATAACATGTGCAACATGAAATTTTAAAAATTTCAAATTTATTTTTTTTTGTTAAAAAAAATAACGATTTCAATCAAATTAAGAATATTGCAGAAAAAATAAAAAAAATAAATAAATAAATAAATAAACATTCAATATATATAATTGCTAATGATTGTTACAAGCAAGCAAATAGATATGAATTTTAATTAATTAAAACAAAAAAAACTATCAATATCATAAAAATATTTTAATTCATTTTTAAAAAAAAAAAAAAAAAAAAAAAAAAAAAACAAGGAGCAAAAAAAAAAATTTGGTGACAAAAAAATGACACAATTTTTTTTTTTTTTGTTGATCATAAATAATTATCATTAATTATTCGTTAAATAAAATTAACAAAAACAAAATCATTTCAAATATGAAAATTATTTGTTGAAAATTTGAACATATCAGGTGGTTGAAGATCATCCATTAATTTAAATGCTCGATCAAATGGAAATCTTGGATCAAATTTTGGTAGTGCACCAAATAACTCATAACTAGTATCATTATTTCTAGGCTCTTTTGGCAAATGTTTTTTAATCCAATGTCCAATCATATCATTATGCCATTTCTCTAAATTTCTTACAACTTTACCGCTTTTCAATTTTTGTTTTTCATTTTTTAAAATTTTATGCCTATCGGATTGTTTATGAAATTTGTCATTCATTGATTGAAATGGATTTAAATCATAGCCATTACCACTGTAACCACCTGTTGCTGCTGAAAATACCTTCTGAAAACGTGAAATATCAAACGTTGGTAGTTTTGACATTTCGTCCTGAAATTTTTATTTCAATTAATGAAAATTTTAGAATGCTTTTTAAATTTTAATAATTAAAGTTATATAAATCATCAGAGTAATAGTTGAAAAGTTAAAATTAAAATAAAAATGATCAAGGGAATAGTTAAAAAGTTAAAATTAAAATATAAATGATCAAGGTAATAGTTAAAAAGTTAAAATTAAAATATAAATGATCAAGGTAATAGTTAAAAAGTTAAAATTAAATAAAAATAATCAACGGAATAGTTCAAATGTTAAAATTAAATTTTTTGAATTATTTCATTTGTGAAAATATAGAAAATGTTAAATTTTTTTTTTTTTTTTGAAAAAGAGAGTTTATTATAAAACAAAACTTTTTAATTACAAACTTTTTTTAAATTTTCAAATTATCAATTTTTAGATTTAACTTATCATTTTTTTAAAAATTATCACTATGCTTTTGTTTTTTTGAAAAAAAATTGTTTTAATGACAAAAATCTAAAAAATATACACATTAAAATTTCATTTATTTTATTTGTTTGTTTTTTTAGTTGAAATTTCTTTTTTTTTTTTTTTGAAAACCAGTTTTAGAAAAAATAATAAATGAGAACATGGGAGTTTTTTTTTTTTTTTTTTTTTTTTTTAAATTAATATAGATGATATTAGTGCAAATTTTTGTAATATTTTGATCAGAATTTTAATTGATTTGAATTTTTTAAATCGATTTTTTTTTTATTTGTCATTCTAAACTTTAATTACTTCGAAGAAATTTTTTTAATTACTTCAAATTTTACAATTGGCATTTAAAAATTTTTAATAGTAATTGGAAATTAATTCTTTTGATACCAATTAAAAAGTAATACTTTGGGATACTAATTGAAAATTAATTCTTTTGATACCAATTAAAAAGTAATACTTTCTGATACTAATTGAAAATTAATATTTTTGATACCAATCAAAAAGTAATACTTTTTATTACTAATTGAAAATTAATATTTTTGATACCATTTTTGATACCAATTAAAAAGTAATACTTTTTGATACTAATTGAAATTTAATATTTTTGATACCATTTTTGATACCAATTAAAAAGTAATACTTTTTGATACTAATTGATAATTAATACGATTACCTTAGCTTGATCAAAAATCTCGTCAGCTAATTGACGTATTACTTTATATTCCGCTTGCGCACGCTTTTGAGCATTTTCACTTTCTTCCCATAAATTTTTAATATTATTGGAATTTTGTGGAAAATTCGCTATATATTCATTGATTGGATTTTTCATTTTGCGCTAAAAAAAAATGTAAATTTCATTTTTTTTTTATTAGAATAAATTTTCAATTAATCTAAATAAATTAATCTAAAATTGATTTTAATTAAAATTAAATTTTTACAATCATTTATATCATTTATTATATAAAAAGCTTTAAATTTCATTTATTTTAAATGCAGAAAAAAAAAAGAGAAGAAAAAACAAATCAAATATTTCTCTGAAATGTAAATGTAAATTAATTTAAAATGCATTTTTTGAATTTAAACAAAAAAAAGAAATAAATAAATAAACCATAAAAGAGAAAAAAAAGTTTTTTTTTTTTTTTACTCTGTTTTCCTTCTTAAATTAAATTGATATTTTAATGTTATTTATATTTTAAACAAAAAAAAAAAAAATTAAATCAAAAAAAAATTAGATCAAAAAAAATCAGATCAGAAAATCAACAAAATTATTTTTCCTGTATTTTCTGATCATTAATTGATTGTTGATAATTTTTTCTCTTATAACTTTTTAAATTGTCCATTTGTTGAATTGTTTCTGTTTTCCTTGTACCATCATCAATTGTATCTGCAAATATTTTAAAATTATAATTTGTTTCTTTTTTTTTTTTAAATTTATTTAAAAATAATTTAAATAATATCATATAATAGTTTTGATAATAAATTAAATTTTTAGTACTCTTGATAATATCATATTTTGTATTATATCACAAGTAATTTTACAATTCTATTTTATATATTAATTACAAATATTTAAAAAAAAAAAATTAAATAGTTAAAGTTAAATTGATAATTTTTTTTTTTTTTAACCTTAAATACCATATGAAAGAAAAATTAATTAAAAAAATAAATAAATAAATATTTAATAGTTAAAATTAAATTGATAAACTTTTTTTTTTTCAATTTTAAATAACATATGAAAACAAAATTAATTTTTTAAAATACCATAGGAAAGCAAAATTCTAGGCTTCTGATCTGATCTGAAAGGTTTTTCGTAAATATATTCAAAATATTGGCCAAAATGTTTGAATGGTTCTTTCAAATGATTTCTTATATCTTCTTCTTCTTGTTTATCTATAATGGAAAAAAAAATTTTTGAAAATTTAAACAAAAATAAAAGAAAGAGAGAGAGAGAGAGTAAAATAGTCAAAGAAGAGAAATGATATTTTAATTTAAATTTCTTAAATTATTTTCTTTTTTTTTTTTTTTTAATAAATTGATAAAATTTATAAAACAAAAAACAAACCAATTTCATTCATCGTTGTTGGTAGTATCAAAAAATCCAAATAAAAAATAATAATAAAAAGAAAATATTGAAGCATTGTTGTTTGTTTCTTTTATTTTAAATCTTTGATTTATTTTAAAAATTATTGATCTAAAAGTTTTTTTCTCTCTCTGAAATTATTATTATAAATATTTGTAGTATTATAATCAAATTTTTGATAACATTTTAAAAATTTTTTCAAATATTATACACTAAGTATTTTGTTTCATTTCAAATTTTTTATTTTTGTTAAAATTTATCGTTTTGAAAATTATTACCGAAAAAAAAAAAAAAAAAGGAAAAAACCTAAGTAAAAGTATTAAATTAGAAATGAATAAATCATTTGAAAATAATCATTGAACATTACCGCCTTATAGTAGAAATGAAAGAAAATTCTGAAATAATATAACAATTCGATATTAATTAAATTAGAAAAATGCATCAAATATAATTGCATAAAATTTTTAACAACAAAAAAAAAAGAAAAGAAAAGAAATTTCATTACAAATAAAATTATAGTTCTGAGGAATTTCAATGAGAGATAATAATGATATTATTATTATTATTATTTTTATTGTAATAATAGATATTTCGTAAATTGACATCATATCTTTGAGGCAAAATATATGCATGAAAAATAAAAATTATTTACTTAATCATTACTTAATATTTCAATTTACTATTAATCTCTTGATTATTACTTAATATTTCAATTTACTATTTATTATTTAATTATTACTTAGTATTTTAACATACCATTAATTAATTACTACTTAATATTCCAATTTACTATTAATCTCTTGATTATTACTTAATATTTCAATTTACTATTTATTATTTAATTATTACTTAGTATTTTAACATACCATTAATTAATTACTACTTAATATTCCAATTTACTATTAATCTCTTGATTATTACTTAATATTTCAATTTACTATTTATTATTTAATTATTACCTAATATTTTAACTTACTATTAACTACCATTAATTAAACACTACTTAATATTGTATTTTACTATCAATCTCTTGATTGTTACTTAGTATTTTAACTTACCATTAATTAATTATTACTTAATATTGTAATTTACTATTAATCCCTTAACTGTTACTTAATATTTCAATTTACTATTTATTATTTAATTATTACTTAGTATTTTAACATACCATTAATTAATTACTACTTAATATTCCAATTTACTATTAATCTCTTGATTATTACTTAATATTTCAATTTACTATTTATTATTTAATTATTACTTAGTATTTTAACATACCATTAATTAATTATTACTTAATATTCTAATTTACTATTAATCTCTTGATTATTACTTAATATTTCAATTTACTATTTATTATTTAATTATTACCTAATATTTTAACTTACTATTAACTACCATTAATTAAACACTACTTAATATTGTATTTTACTATCAATCTCTTGATTGTTACTTAGTATTTTAACTTACCATTAATTAATTATTACTTAATATTGTAATTTACTATTAATCCCTTAACTGTTACTTAATATTTCAATTTACTGTTAATAATTTAATTATTAATTAATATTGAAACTTACCATTAATTGACATTAATTATTTATTACTTAATATTCTAATTTACTATTAATTTTTTGATTATTATTTAATATTCCAATTTACTATTAATTATTTAGTTATTACTTAATATTCTAATTTGCTGTTAATTTCTTGATTGCTACTTAATATTTCGATTCACCGTTAATTATTTAATTATTACTTAATATTCTGATTTACTTTTAATTACTTAATTATTAGTAATTTCAATTTTTTCCTATTTATTTGCATTTTACTAAATATTTTTACTAAATACGTATAATGAGGAAAAGAAAGAACAGAAAGCAAAAGAAACACTAAATAATAGAATTATTATCAAAAAAAAAAAAAATTGTAATTTTGTTTAGAAAGATTTTAAAAAAAATAACAAAAAAATTTTATTGGTATAAATTACAATAAAAATGATAAAAATTTAATTTTAACAAATAATTTATTATCAAAATCACTGTGTTATTCTTGCTAAATGTAAACAATGAAATGAAACTTAAAAATTGTCAAATTTTGAATTACTATTATTTATTAGACCGTAGTAATTGATCATTCATGCTGAAATAAAAATGTATAATTTGTGTTAAACAGATTTTTAAATCAAAATAAAATTCATTTTACATCATAATTAATTTTGAAAATCTTTCATTACAAAATTTTATAAAAATCATTTTTTAAAAAACAAAACAAATGAAATTAAATAATTACAATTAGCATAAATAATAATAATAATGACAATGGTATCAGTAATAATAATGATAGTGATAACGAGAGTGATAATAATAATAGTAATTATTTCGTGAAATTTTAATTTTTAATAATGCATAAATCAATCGGCAAAAAAAAAATAAATGAGTAAGAATTATTAATTAATTATAATAAAAACTTATAAAATCATTAATTAAAAAAATAAAAAATCAAATTTAGGAATGTTTTATTTTAAAAACGACCACTTTGCAGTTAAATAATTTATTATCATCACACTATCATTTTAGTATTAAAATAAGAGATGGCGTTTTTGACGCGTTTGGCGCTTTTGACACTTTACAGAATTTATATTTTATCTAATTCATTGCTTAGAAATGAAAACACAATGAATTCTTCTTTGCAACCTGTGATATTCTCCACCAATCCACTTCAAAAAATTCCCATTTTGTGAAAAGAAAATATTGAATTGTATATTTTTTTGGTGTAGCATTAACAATTGATACTGAAATTAGAAATAATAGTAATTAAAAAAAAATTTTGTTTAAAAATTTTTTGAAAAAAAATTAAACGTTTTAAAAGTTATATCTACAAATTAATAATAAATAATTTAAAGCAAATAAAGAAATTTAAAGTAATATGAACATTTTGTTTATTTGATCCATTAAAAATGTAACTTCATTTTTTTTTTTTCTAAAATTATGAGATAATCAAATTTTAATGAATTTAATTTCATTTTTTTAACTTGTTACTTCTGTTAACTTTATCTTATCTTAACAAATCGGGAATATCAGATTAGATTATTTAATCGTATTATTTCTTAATTACTTAGAAAAATTTGCTATTCAGTGATTTTTTCTTTTTTTTTAAGATAATAATAATAATAATACTTTCGAAATTATGAATTTATAATAAAAGAAAATTTTAAAATTGTAAATTTATAATAAAAGAAATTCCTAGTAAGTTTTATACCAAAAATTTTTTTTTCTAAATTTCAAAATCTATCTATTGCTGCATTCAGTGAAATTTAATTGTTTTTAAATTATAATTTAATTTAATTCAATTCAATTGAAATTTAATTTTTACATTTAAAAAAAAAAAAAAATTAAAAATAAATTCAGGATATCAAAAATAAATATACCTTCTAGTAAAGAAATGATTATCATTAACCAAATATAATACCAAATTAAAAAATACACTTTATATTCCATTTGAAATTAAATTCAAATTTACGTCTTACAGATGACTGAACAATCAACAACAAAAATCACTTCAAATATGATGATTATAACAAATGGTATAATTATTTTAAATAATTTTAGGACAAATAATGATTGATCATTATTAATAATGATTATTAGCTTTTGTTAATATCATATTTTTCTAATGATTGTTTGACAAATTTCATACGCTAATTTTTATTTCAAATATAATTATCCTTCATAATATATTTATTTTTTTTTATTTATTCTTTCAAACAACTTTTTTCTTTTTCAAAAAAAAAAAAAAAAAAATTGAAAATGAATAATTATTAAATACATTTTATATATTGGAAATGCTAATATATTTTATCATATCAAATAAATCCATTTGTAATACATTATTATTTAATATAAATTATTTCACTTACAATTTATTCAATAAAAAATAAAATTGTTCTAAATATTTGTCCAAATTTGACACAATTTGCTGAAATATTTAAAGATTTTCTTTTTTTTTTTTTTTTTTTTTTTTTACAAAAGTTTTCAATCTTTCTTGTAAATAAATAAAAAATTATCTTTACAATATATTTATTTCCTTAATCTTCCTTATAAATATATGTAAAAACTATTTCACACTTATGATTATTTCATCCAATTAATTTTTATATCACGAAATCCTTTTTTTAATATTTTAAGTAAAAAATTTTTCGCCATTTAAAGTTTAAAATAAAATTATCAGAATGCTAGTAATAAAATATGAGAAATGATTAATGATAGAAATGATATGATATAAGTAAAACATAGGTTGAAACTATCAACAATGAATACTATCATCTGAGTTAATTATTAATTGGTAGCATTAAGCAGTACTTAAATGAATAATTAAAAGATATTTTATTCACAATCTTTTTTTAAATATTACATGACTTGGAAGTCAATTCTTGAATTAATTGAAATGAATATTAAATTTTGAAAATAATTTGATAAAAAAAAAAAAAAAAAAAAAACCGTCAATTGTACAATGTAAAATCAGTCAATTAATAATACAAAATAATACGAAATATATTATAAAATATACAAATAAGCCCATAAATAACAATAAATATTGTCAAAGATCTCTCAAATTAACGACAATAACAATGCTCAAAACAAAAGAGAGAGAGAGAGAGAGAGGGAAAGAAAGAAAGAAAGAAAGAGCAATTGATCCTACATAATTCTAGAAAAATTAAAAGGGAGAAGAAAAGAGAGAGAGAGAGAGAAAGAGAAAGAGAAAGAAAGAAAAAGTTAAAAATTTTTTGATTATGAAAAAAATCTAATAAAGCAATATGACGGAATGTTTAATAAAGAATTTTTTTTTTTGCGCTCCATATAAAATATTTCTATTTTATAAATGAAGCATAAACCACACTTCGTGTATATTAATCATTTCTTATGTTATCTATGCTTTTTAAACCTTTAAGGCTAATAAAAATTAAAATTGAAATTAAAATATAAAATTGAAAATTGAAATTAAAAAACATCCCTAAAAAAATTTAGTACTAAAATAGAATTGAGAAGCATTATTATAAAAGTATAAAAGAATTTTGCTTTACAAATTAATTACTATATTATTCATATAATACATATTTACTCATATATATTTGAATCGTTTTGGATAAAAATGGCAGTGTGATAATGACTAACATTATAGCAAATTGTTAAAATAATTCAATCATTTACATATTAATTGCTAAGTTTTAATCTAAATTAAACCGTATAAACAGCAAAATTCATGTCAAATTACGAAAAATAGTCTGAATTCTTGTAAATAATATTTCAGTTTAGAAATTGAAAAATAAGATCACCTAATAAAGAGACTAATTCTTAACAGTTTCAAAATTAATGAACAACTTTGTTCAGATTATATGGAAAATAAGTATAAAATGTATGAAATCACCCATTCAATTGAATATATCACAAAGCATAGAAAGAAAAATAAATATAAATAATCAATGATTTATAGAAAGAGATCAACCCTTGATAAAAAAAAAAAAAAAAATGATGCATAAATAATAGCAATAAATTAAAGATTAATCCTGGTGGTACCAGTTACCATATCTCTCTTATAAGCATTAAAATAATATAAAATTCTCGAAGATTTGCTCCAATTTGCCTCAGCAAAAATCTATTATCATAAATATGATTGAAGCACTTGCATACCTGCAAAAAATGATGATAATTTTTGTACTTTTTTTTTTTTTCAAAATAGTTTTTATAGGTTTTTCTCAAGATAAATTTGATCTACTAATTCTTATAATAACACTTTAAAAAAATAGTAATAATAATGAAAAAAAAAAAAACCTAAAAGATGAAGAATGATAGTCATTAAGTTGACTAACTTCTAAACATATTTATTAATATTAGAACAATGAAAATCAAAATTCTCTCTAAAATATTTCAATGAATATTACAAATAGTATAATTAAGAAATTAATAAAGCATACAGTAATTGATATTAGATTTGTCAGAGTTATTTTTTACTTCATCGCTCAATTTTTCAATATTTCAAATTTTACATTAGAAAAGTATCAATTGTTGTGAATTCATAAATTATAATTCATATTGAACACGTGCAATTCAAACGATAAAGAAAACATGCAAAAATTAAACATTTATACCGTTTCCGTGTTTCATGATCTTCTCTGTTCCAAAAGTGGTTTGTAGTGATGATGGTGATTGTTGTGTAGATGATACGGTAGGATGAAAAATGTTAAAATTACTTGAAATGTTGTCATGCGATGACAATATGCCCGATTCTCGCTGCAAAAATTATTTATGAGCCAAATTGCTTAAGAGTTGTCAGTAGCTGTAAAATTTCTACGATACACAGAGAATATTAGATTAAAAAAATAATAAAAACAACTTAATATTAATACAAATTTGAAAAAAAAAAGAAAAAAAAACACAAAAAACTTTCGAATATCTATGAAAACATATGAAAAATTCAAAAAATTTTGCAAATAATTATTTCAGTTATGAAGCAATTGAAAAAATAAAATAAATGTCATTATAAATATTAACTAACTTTTGCGAAATTATCTGATGAAGAAAGTCGTGATTGCTGCAACTTCTGTTCATTATTAAGCAGAATGGTTTGCTGCAATTCTTGCTTATTTTCAACTTTTTCATCTACCATATTTTGCTTATGCTTCTTTGCTATTGCTGCTAATTTTTCACTCGTATCAAAATACCAAACCGTTATAGCATAGCTAAAATCAAAATTTAGCTATAATAATGATGACAGAAACTAAAAACAGATAATCAAGAATTCTGGTACAGTTAATAAATCTAAAGCAGTTGTAAATAGTTATGTTTAAGCAACACTGAAAGCATTATACAAAATTTTATACTAAATACTGCTGATGAATATTAACAATTACTAACAATTTAAATAAATTTTTAAAAAATTTGAAGATAAATTTGAAAAATTACCGATCTCGATATACTGGTCGAACTTCATGTGGATTTCGACGATCTGACCATAAAAGCAATAAACGATCAGCTCGTGGTTCGATATCCAATGGAACACCTGATGTTTCAGGAAAAAGCCTGAAGCAACCACCATCCTGAAAAAGAACACCATAAGATGGAAAACAGATTAATATTGTAAATGTTAGTTACAAATTTTTTAAAATTATACTTTTTTCTCAGATAAGTAAAAAAGGAAAAAAAAAGAAGGTTAAAATATGAATTTTCTAAGTAAATGGATAAATTACCTTTTCAACATCCCAGTTTTGATTGCAATAATAAATAGCAGTAATGCAACGACCATCTTTCATTGGATTATCAATGTGCTTTACATAATGCGTTCCATTTGATGGATATATTGCTAGCATTGCCTAAAATAAAATATTAGAAATTTTGTAATAAAAGAATTCAGAATGTTATTTGAAAAAAATAAACAACCTTACATTGAACTAGGATACCTTTAAAAAAAAAAAAAAAAGAAAGGAAACTGGGAAGTTAGGGAAGTAAAAATGAGCTAAAATTAGGAAAAACCAACTTTTTCAAGTTAAAAATTTACTTTAATAAACCTAATTAAAGGTTTATTTTAATAAAGATGAGTCATATGCCTTTCTTTTTCTCTCTATACAACATACGATTAATATTTGTGAAATATTAGATGTGACTGTTGTTTTTTTTTTTTTTTAAAATATCATCCTCCGATTATATTTTTTTTAAAATATCATTCCTTAATCATTTTATCATTATATTTGATCATACAATGTTGCAAAATTTTCAGTAACTTTATCACCCAAAAATTAGAAGAAAGAAGTGACAAAAGCAATGAAAAAGTTTTTGTAAATAACCTTGTCAGATATTTCTTTCCTTCTTAATTAAGATTTTAAGATATTGCTCAAAAAAAAAAAAGTAATAAATAAATAAGTGCTAAATTAAGGTTCAGTAATAAAATTAGATGATAAAAAAAAAAAAAAAAAGAAGCATTTTCTTATCTAAAATATCATCATTTATTGCAATCTGTACATTGTTAAATTAGGAAACAGTAGAAACATTCGCTGAAATCACGTAAATTATCAAACAAAAGGTTATCAGCAATTACCCGTGAGCGTCCATTAATTTCATAGGGTATACGGCCATTAAAATGAACAATGGTCGAATCAATCATTGAGACAAGCAAACGAACTGTCACTGCCACACTTACTCGTTCATCATTGCTGTCAAACCAATAAACCTGAAATTGAAATTGATGCTATCATTTTCAGGAAAAATTACAAGCAATCAATGAATTATAGAAAAGAACATCGTTTGTATCAGCCGACAAATTTCTTCCAGAATGGTAATTACTGAATTAATAAAGTACTTATAAGTCAATACTAATCAATTTAGAAGATTAACATTGAATATTTTGATTAATTAACTTAGGAATGTGCAATAAAGATCATGCAGATGTTGTTTTAAATTGTAATCATGAAATGAAATAGATTAATAAGATCATGTAAAAGTTAACCTAATTTACTCATCATTCAATGATGTAAAATTCAAACGTAATAAGAAAATATTCAAAGAATGATCAGAATGTGCAATAATGTTGCAATGATAGACATAAAATTTTGAGCAAAAATAAAATTTATTATTATTGCAGGAATTGTAAGTGATGGAATTTATGAAAGACAAGCAAAGATAGTTAAAAAAATAAAAAACAAGGAATTTAATATAAGAACTATATTATTTAAAAAGAAACAAAACATAAAGTTTTATTTGTATCAAATAACCATGTAAGCATAATGATAACAATAGCAATATATGTTCCACAACAAATAAACAAAAATTCAACTAACCTCATCTGATCGTATATTTTGTGAATTTGAATTCACTCGTGTTTCCATCAATTGTCCTGGTTTAAAGACACCACTATTGTATAAATAATTCATTTCCCTAAAAAAATGGAATTGAAAAAAGAAATTTCAACAAATGCAACTACGGATAACACATGACTATGACTAATTAATTTCTCCAAATATATCAAAAAAAAAAAAAAAAAAGAGCAAAACTATACCTATGAATGTGAGAACAACGATTTTGTCCAAGAAAATTATCAATAATAGCCCATCCATAATCATTCAAACATTTAATAGCATGATCCGCAATGCACTATAAATATCAAAATCAGATAAAATGTTTTTCATTATTTTATTTCTTCTTGATTTCAAGAAACTAATACGCACTAATTGAAAGCGTACTCAAAGCTCAAAAAAATTAATTAAAAGTAAAATTAATAATTCGACCAAATTTCTATTTATTAGCTCATTATTTCTTCTTTTTTTTCTTACCTTAAGATGCAAAGCAACTGCTTGTTGTTGATGAACTGCTAGTCCATTTGCGGAAAGTATTTTCAAATGATCATGTAAGCTAATCTGTAATAGCAGTAAATTTTGTCTTGTAAAATTATTGAATCTACAAATTGTTTAAAGTGTTCAAAAAATTGAAGTCTGAAACTTCAAAGAAAATTAAAGCAATCTTTAGGTTAAAAGAATTAATTGTTAGAAATTAAATCTCTCTTTTTGCAGAAAAAAAAAAAAAGAACATTAAAGTTACGAAAATGCATTCTTGTTTCTATCGCAGTTCATTTTTGGTGAAATAATTAGAAGAATAAATCAGCAAATTACCGTGAAGACAGGATTAGTAAAGTGATCAATCAGTTGAGAATGCCTGCAATTCATTGGCAGTAATCTCTTCCTCGGTATTTTCTCCGATGTACTAATGATTTTTTCAAGAATTTGATTGTCTGGATTGCTTGTGCTAATAATGTGCTTACACAAATTGTTGCCTAAAATATAATTATGCATAGGATAAGTGACATGCAGCAGAAAAATCGTTATATACCTTATATTACTTACAGTTTAAATCAAAATTTCAAACGTGAGTGAAAAATAGTAACAAAACATAAATTTAAAAATAAATTTTGACTAAGAAAGAAAAAATAATTGCAAATGCAAGGTTTTAATATCTTACATTAGCGCTTAACAATTGCTTAATTAGGTGGATTTTAGCAATAGATTAATTGCATTAGGTCTCATTTCAAAAGTTAAAAATTTCATATTTTTAACTGGAAAAAATCTCTTCGTTTACTTACCAAATAAAATGTATACCTAAATTTAAAAAAAACAAAAACAAAACGGAATGTTCTAATAGATAATATTTTACCACTACCATTAGCAGTATGAATGCAATTCAATGAAAAAATAATATACAACTAATCATTCTTCTTCATATAATTCAAAATATTAATTCAAATTAAAAAAATAAAAAACTAACATACCTAAACATTTTGCAGTTGTCGCTGTCGTACAACTAGCATGACTTGTTGTAGTTGTAGTAGCACTTATTGTTGTTGTTGTTGTTATTGTATTAGTATTAGTAGTAGTCGTAGTAGTACTGGTAGTAATAGTAGTCCTTGTTAGTTGAGATTGTACAGTTTTACAAAGCGGTTTATGCCGCTTCCAATCAAAATTCTGTAAAAATATATATCATTTCCAATCAGAATTGAATAAAAAAAATTTTTTGTATTAATTATAGGAATAAAATTTATTCATTTTATAACTCAAATTATATTCTCTTCTCTTTCTTTTTTTTTTTTTAATTAAACATTTAATATAAAAAAAGATTGTCAACAAAAAAAAAAAAGAAAAGAAAGAAAGAAAAATAGTTCTAACGATTTTATAAAAAATTTGATAAAATAAAATTATGGCCAAGAAATATGAACCAATGAGGACAGTATGAACTAATTTTAGTCTCAATAAGACATAAATTAGTTATATGCATTTTAGATTTAATAATTTTAATTATTATTAAGTAAATATTATTATTTGTTTATTAAAAGATATTTAATTTATTATTAAAAAATATTTAAATATATCTATTTTTGCTAGCAAATAAAATAAATAGCAAATTTTTTAACATACAAACAATTTATTACATTGAATGAAAGATATTTTAGATATTTTATAGTGAGACAAAAAAAAATAAAATTCTGTTTTCTATCCAAGAAAAATTATAATTTTTAAATGTTGAAAAGTTTGTTTTTTTTTTTTTTTTCAAAAGATATGAAAATCAAAATATTTAAAATAAACTTTTTTACTTTTTATTTTTTAAATTAAGAAAAAGGAAGAAAAAGAAAGAAACAAAAATAAAAATAAAAAGTAATTTAATATTTTTATATGGTCAAAAATATATTTCTTATTAAATTTGACTTTTATTAACATACAACAATAAAGTAATCTTTACTTTTTTCAAAAAAAAAAAAAAAAAAGGGAAAATTACTGACTTAAAATTTTTGAATGACAATTTTTCCTATATAACTTTTCATTTAAATTTATGCACTCTTTTTAGAAACTGAAAATTTCAAACTTAAAATTAAATTAAAATTAAAATTAACTAAAATTAAAAATTAAAATTATATATACCTTTTTAAAATAAAATTATATATTAAAAAAAGAATTAAAATTATACATATATCTTTCTTTCTATAGTTAGTAATGAATTGAAGAAATTTTCTTCATAAATTAATCGAATCAATCAATTTATTTAAATTATGATTATTTTTTTAAAAGTTCAAAGAATGAAGAATCAATCATTCATTTATGGCATTAATTTAAAGTATTTGAATAGTTTCAATTGAATACTTTTGATTCATCAACGAAAAAATATTTTATGTGAGATTATTAAAGATCATTCAAATAGTTCAAATCTTAATTTTTCCTCTCATTAACTTTTTATAATTAATTTATTATAGTTAAATTTATAAAATAAAAAAAAAAATTAGCTTTCTCGAGTAAAAAAATCTAAGTAAAATAAATGATATTAAATTTGATCAATTTTATCTTTCAGCTATTAGTCAATCAATAAATCAATATCAATCGATAAATGAACTTACTTCGTCTTTTTCATTTTTTTTTTTAAACTTTTAAGCTGTTCAAAAAAAATTTAAACTGAAAACAATCAAAAATTTTAAAATTTCACTCTCGCTCTTTACTAACTGTTATTAAAAATAAAAAATTTTTCATTTTATTAAATTCAAAATTTGAATTTTCTTTTTTTTTCTTTTATTACATTTTTTTAAATTATTATTTTACTTTTATTTTAATGCACAAATTTATAATTTATTATTATGAGAGATTTAGTTTTTAATTTATTCTGACAAAAAAAATGAAAAAATGTTTTTTTTTTTACTTTTTCCTTTTTTTAAATTTTTTCATTTTTATTTTTTTTTTATTTTCTTTTATTCGATATCTGTTAAAATAACAAAAATTTTTATGTGTTTGTAATGGAATGTATGAAAATATATAAAAACAAAAAAAAAAAGAAAGAAATACTATTTTTTTTTTATTTTTTATAGCTTTTTGTATTTAAAAAGAATTTTTGTTTTTTTTTTTTTTTTAACAAAAAATTTTTACTGAAAAAAAAAAAATAAATAAAAAATGCGACATTTCATTTACAGTTTATGTTGTATACCAAAAAAAAAAAAAAAATATTTCATTTTTGAACATCAGTTTTTTTTTTAAATTTTCGCACGTTTAATTCCAGTAATTTTTTTTTTTTTTTAATTTTTTATTTCTTTTAAATTGAATTTATTTAAAATTAATTAATTAGTAAAAATTTGAATTACAAAATGAGAAGTAAAAAAATTTTTGTATAAAATTTTTTCAAAAAAGAAATTCATTCACATATAGCTATTATCAAATGAAATCATGCTAATATCAAAATTTATAATTAATAAAATTTTAATCTTTAATCAAAACACTACTGATTATTAATCAAATTGATTTATAGCAATTTTTGAAAAAAAGAAAAAAAAAAAAGGACAGAAATGATCTGACTTTTGTCCGTTCTATGAAACATTTTCTGTTTTTCTTTTTTTAGGTATTTTTAAAAAATTTTTAAATTTCTCATCAAAAACAAATACGTAATATGTACTGAAATTTTTTAAATACATATAAAATTATTGCACAAATAATGCACTAATTAAAAATGAATGTAAAATTAATAATTTAATAACATTTAATTAACAATTTTATTAATAAATAATAAATGATAAATAATTAAGTAAATAAATCAATTAATTTATTATAAAAATGTCAATTTCAAATAATAAATTAATCATTTTAAAAGGTTTTTTTTTTTTTTTTTGAAACATTCATTTGAGTAAAAAATTTCAGTCTAAAAGAGCTTATATCTATTATTTTTTAGTTTTATTTTTATTCCAATCTTTCACTTACTTACTCACTTATTCACTTACTTACTTACTTACTCACTCACTTACTTACTTACTTAGTTACTTACTACCTTTCCTTTTTTTTTTAACTCATAAAAATAGAAAAAAAAAAACAAAGAAAATAGTATAAGCACTGCTATCCAGTTAAAATAAAAGATAAATAAATGAAAGTTAACTTTATCTGCACTTACTCTTAAATCTATGATTCATCGAAAAAAAATAAAATAAAACAAAATAGCACTTCCACAACTATTTGTTAAACATTTAAACAACTTTTTTTTAAAATACATTAAGATTAGCTTAAAAAAAAAAAAAGAAAATCTTACAATTTTCTCCTAACATACTTACATTTTCTTGTTTAAACTAATTTTTTTTTGAATGTTTTTAATTATTTTCTTTAAAAAAAAAGAAATGAAATAAAAATAAATATAATTTTAAAAAATTTAAATTTAAAAAAAAAAAAAAAATGAAATTACTCGATGCTCTTCGCCACAATATACTACCATACTGCATTGCTTACATTGTGATAATGCGCTACCATCGATTGACTTTGGCGCTCCACAAACTGCGCATTCTCTGAACAGAAAAAAAAATTTTTTAAATATTTAAAAATTTTTTTTTTCTTTTATGAAAATTTTAAAAATGTAAAAAAAGATAGATATTCACAAGAAAAAATGGCTATTTTTTAATTTTAAATTTTATTTGATTTAAATTAACTTTTTTTTTTTTTGAAATGCAATTTAACTTTACTAATTAATTAATTAATAATAATAGAAATTAATTCAACTTAATATCATATTTGATTAATTAGTTTAATTTAAAATGCATTTTCTAAATAAAATAGTTTTATTTTTCATTTAATTACAATTCAATTTCAAAATTTGAAAAAAATTAAAATTAGTTTTAGTCTTTATTTAATTAGAATTTAATTTCAAAATTTGAAATTATTAAAATAATTTAAGAAAAAGTTAATATTGAAAAGCATTTGCATTTCGCTTTCGTTTCATTTTTTTCAGTAATGATTTAACTACAAATCAAATATACTACTTTAAAAAAAAAAAAAAAAATGATAAGTTTATTAAACTTTTTTCCTTATCACTACTATCAATAACTTATCAATACTATTTAACTTATACTCTCTCCTTTCCTGATCTCTTTGTTAACTTTTGCTTCACCAGTCATAGAATTCAGCTAAACCCTAAACGAACTATTTATTCTTTCTTTGCTAAATTCTTTACAGCGTTACATTTCCGCCGAGCGCTATATGTCATGAAATTGATATTATTACTTATAACTTTATCAATACAGCATTCTTTATCAAAATTATCACTTATCAAAAGAACGTGGGAAAAAGAAGAAAGAATTTACTGTTTTTTATTTGTTGCACCCATTTCTTCATTCGAAAATCGTTCACAATTTAGCTTAATTTATTAGTAATTCGCTCGTTTTTCTTTTTCTTTTTTTTTCTTAATCTAAAATTTTGATTTTATTTTAATTACTTATAATAATTTCAAACGTTCTCTCTTACATTTTTTCTTTTTATACAATTACATTTATAATAACAAATTTTTATCAAAAGTATTCTTATCATATTATCATATTATGTTGATTATAGTAAATGTCATTCAATAATATTTTGGTTTAATTATAAAATTAATGAATTTATGTTAATGTCATTTGTTCACTATTTGATTACATCAATAGGATGTATATGATGATATAAAATTAAATTAAACTATTTTTAGTAGAAAAAAAAAAAAAAAAACAAAGAGTTAAACGTGTATGCACGTTAGTGACGTGTTTCAATCAATTAACGTGAAGTCGTACATTTTAAAAAGCGTTAAATGTAGTTACGTAAACGATAAATGTAGATATACTTAAATAACGTAATGCAATCAATTAACGTAAAGTGTTACATTTTTAAAAAGCGTTAAATGTAGTCATACATAAACGATAAATGTAGATATACGTAAACGATAAATGTAAGATATACGTAAATGACGTACTGCAATCAATTAACCCTACATTTTAAAATTCAAAAAATAAAAATATAAATATTTCAGCAATTGTTTCAATCAAATAGCACGCTAATTAGCTCTTACAAGGCTTAATTTCTTTCTAATTTAAACTACCTTAAATTATAAAGTACCAAATTTAATTACTAAACTGTTAAAATTATTCAAAATTGTTTTTCTCTCTCTGTACTTCACATTGGATAATTTACATATTTGTAACTAAATATGATTAAAAAAAGGAAAATTTTTTGAATTCAACCATTTTTGAAGCATTTTATGTCCATTTTATGGTTGTTACTCTTTTATACATCTCTTTGTACTCTCTCTCCCTCTCCCTCCCTCTCTCCCTCTCTCTTTCTCTCTTTACTTCTTTTTGGTTTATTCAAAAATAAGAAAAAAGGAGAAATTGACAGTATCATTTTCAAATTTTATTTGATATATTTCAATTATGTGATAATTTTAATCATAAATAAATGATAAAAAAGTAGCAAAGGAATTAAATTGAAATTTAATTTATTTCTAATAAAATTTACATTTCTAGAAAAATCTAAAATATTTATTCTAATTTGATTTTATAAACAACAGATTTCTTTTTTTCTTTGTTTAGAATATTGATTGAATTATATATATGATTGATCTATTTAAATCCTACAAATAATATACTCTAAGAGACTTTTATAATGTAAAAAATATTGTGAAAAAAATTTTTATTAATTAATTGACAATTTAATTATAAAAGTTACTAATTAACAATAATTAATGTTAGACCGATTACTTCTTCACTATGAAATTTTTGTTTTCTAAAATTTTTTTGCAAAAAAAAATTGTAAATTTTTTAATTTTTTAAATTTTTATTTTTTAATTATTAATAGTTTTTTTATTATAAAAAAAATACAATATGAAATTTTTGCATTTTTTTTTTTTTTTGAATTTAAATGTTTTTGAATGAAAAAATTGAATCTAAAAATATTTTTTTCATTGTGTTATCATTAATATTAAGTTAAGCAATTGAGTAAATAAGTAAAAATTTTTGAATGAAATTAAATTCTGTGTGAAAAAATGAGCAAAATGTAATCAAATTGAATTTTAAATAATTGAAAAAAATTTCTTAATTATCGATCAAAAATATTTCTTTCCTCATTTTAAAAAATATTTGCCCATTTCCCCACTTTACCCTCCCCCCTCAAAAAAAAAAAAAAAAAAAGGTAAATTTAAAAAGGTCATTCATTTTTATATGCTATTAAAAATATAATTTTTAAATGAAATTATTCGAAATCAATGTTCAATGAATTATCAATAATAGAACTTAAAAAATTTACAGTGTAACGTTTCTACAAAATGCTCAAATTTTAATTTGAAAAAAAATGAAAACAAAAAAAAAAAAATTGAAGGAAATTTAAAAAAAAAAAAGAAAAAAAAAGAAAAGGGAATGTTTGATAAAATAACTTCAAATGATGGTAATATGAAATTTTCAATATATTTTGATAAGTTATTTGAATTAGCTCATTTCAATCAAGCAAACATTAATTAATTAATTTTAGCCTTTTGATCTATTTCAATTTTTAATTTATCAAAGTTTCAACCACTTAAAATGGCACTTTGTTTTGTTTCCATTCAACGACACATTTAATTACAAATTATTTTCAATATATTTTGATAAGTTATTTGAATTAGCTCATTTCAATCAAGCAAATATTAATTAATTAATTTTAGCCTTTTGATCTATTTCAATTTTTAATTTATCAAAGTTTCAATCACTTAAAATGGCACTTTGTTTTGTTTCCATTCAACGACACATTTAATCACAAATTATTTCATTTTGATGAAGAAAATGAAATGGAAAAGACCTCGAAAACATCCATTAAAATTTCAAAATTTTCACGCTGACAATTTTAAGATTTTGCACGGCGCAAATCAAAAACTTTTGTTTGGCAAAGTTTTTTTCTCTCATTTTTTTGTTTTTTTTTTTTTTTTTTTTTTTTGTTTTTTTGTTTAACTAAGAAATGAAATGGGCAAAATGAATTTTGCGGAAGTCTTTTAGAAGTTAAAAAGAAAAAAAAAAAAAAAAACGATTGGAATGGTTTATTGGGATGCCGAAATGTTCGAATTTAAATTGTCACTAATAGATACATACACGTACATAGTACACGCATACATACACGTACACATACACGCATGTACATTCTTGAATATTTGTAAATTGAACTATCATTTATGTTTTTTTTTTTTTTTTTGTAATGTTTCCTGGAATAATTGAATTAATTAAAAATTTTTTGTCATTTTTTTTTTTTTTTTTTTTGAAACTATTAAACTATCTAAATGAAATTAAAAAAGAAAGAAGAATTTAAAAAATTTTTTTGGGTTCTTTATTTGATTTCAATTTTAATTAAAAAAAAATATTATCATAGTAGTCTTATCACCACTGATAAGTAAAGAAATACTTTTTGATAACACTGATAGTATTAAGCCAAAGCGAGAACAGTTTGAATAATTAAAAATAAACTATGAAATAACAGGGATATTAAAAAATTGAATGAAAAAAAGACATAAATTCAGAAGAAATAATTAAAAGTAAAAATAAATTGATATAAATTGATACATTTAAATAATTACTAAATTAATTCTATTGATGATAAATTCAAAATTATTTTTATTACTTTATTGTAAATAATTCTAAATTTTATTTATTTTAGTATGTTATGACGAAAAAAATTTGAAAGTTGTATAATTATTGAAATAATAATTAGTAAAAAAAAAAGAAATTAGCATACTTTATTAAAATTAAAAGTACAAATATTTGATGAAATGAAATGAAATGAATGTATTATTAGAGTAATTATTTTATGAATGTAAAATTTTGTAGAAAATAATTTTGCATACAGAAAGATAAGCTTAATCACTATCAGATAAAATTGACGGTGACAAATGTGTGAAAATTTAGGGTGACAAATGTGAAATGTAAAATTGAGTAGCTCGAAAGTTGCCACAGTGTTTTTTTTTTTTTTTTTTTTTTTTTGTCTAAATTGGATGATGTAAGGAAGAAGTGAGAATTAATAATAATTCAAAGAATAAAGAGAAGAAAGTAAACTTGAGGAAAAACGTAAACAAATAGGTAAAGTAGCACTAACACGTACGTCATGCATATACGTACGTAAATAACAAAAGAAAAATATAACATAGTTATTTCATTTAAATCAAGTGGAATAATAAACAATTTGTTAATTCATTTATTTGTTTTATATATAATTAAGAAATAACGAATTAAAAATGTGGGATATTCAAAATTCAAGAAAAAATATGAAAAAAAAAGGGAACAAAAAAGATTATCAATTTATAAAATCATAATTTCCATTTATTTTTCACGACAAAAAGAAAATTTTAAAGTATATTAAGAAATAATGCATAAAAATAATTATAAACTGTAATTGTTTATTTATTTATGGGTTTATTTTTGTTTATTTTTTTGGTTATTTGACAAATTCAGTGGATGAATTTATTTTTTTCTAATTTATTTTATGCACTTTTTTTTCATTTTATTAATTGTGAAACATTTCTTTTCAAAATTTAATATATGTAAATAACTATAGAATTTAAAGTTGAATTTCTGACTAAATTTTAAAATTTAAAAAATTTTGAATCTAATTTATGTGAATGAATATAGGATGAAAAGTTGAATGTCTGACTAAATTTTGAAATTTTAAAATTTCAAATTTGATATATTTAAATGGAAATGGAATGTAGGGTTGAATTCTTGTTTAAATTTTAAATTTCATTTTAATTATAATATATTGCTCCATTGCTAATATTGTCAAAAAATTATGAACTTTCACTAAATTTTTTTTTTTTTTTTTTTATTTAGAATAATTTGCCAACAATTTGAAATAAATATTTTAACAATAACTTTTAGTCGTTAAATAACAAAGAGTAAGCTTTTAGCATTTTCAATTTGATAAGCTAATTCAAATAAATCACTTAGTTTTGTCAGTTCATTTTAGCTTCTTAGCAAACAGTAAACATACTGCTATTTGAAGTAAATTTAGAAAATTAACAAGTTGACAAATGTTAATTTAACTAATTTGTTAATGGTAGTAAAAGTTAGTTAAAAAAGTAATTAGAAATTAGCAATCAGTGAAAAAAAAAAAAAGAAAATGCAATTATGTATGCTTTCAAATATTTAATACTTAATGGAAATAAGCTAAATTAAAGAAAGTAAAAATGAATAAATGAAGATAGTAAATTAGGAATTAAACGAAATCTTTGAAAATGAATGAATGACTTTTTCTATTTATATATATAAAAAAAAGACAAACAAACAGGTATATAAATAAACAGGTATGTTACAATAAAATAATTTTTAAACATTTCTTCTTTTCTTTTTTTGGAGGGGAGGGTGATCAAATTTTGTGTTATAAAATGAGCTTAAAAAGATCTTTGAACTACATTTACTTCATTACTAACTGATATTAGTATCTTTTTTTTTTTTTTTTTGGATTTTTTATATTTACTAGAAATCTTCTAGGTTCATAAAATTGTTGTAATTATATTTGAGTTAACAAAGTTTAAAAATATTTATTTATTTTTCACTTTATTTAAAAAACTTTTTTTCAATGGATGAATACAAATTATATCGAATTCATATTTTACTTAATACTTAAATTTTATGATAAATGCAAATTTTATTCAAATTACAATTATTATTGATGGATAAAATTTCCTTTTTCGTTTTATATTTCTTATATTTAAAAATTATTTTTTTCAATTCTTTTCTTTCTAATTATTATTCAGTTATGCTAAAAAAAAAAATAATTGCAAAAATAAAATTTTTATCAAAAAAAAAAATGCACAAAATAATTAAAAAAAAAAAAAAAAAAAAATGTACAAAATACTAAAAAAAAAATATACAACCGATAATAATTAAAAATGAATAAATAAATAATAAAACAAATTGAATATAATATAAATAAATAAAAAAAAAAAAATTAAAAACAAGTAAATGAATAAAGCTATTCAATTCATTAATTTAACCGTAAAAAAATTACACAGGGCAGTACAAAAATTTAAATTTATGAATGAATGAATGAGTGCCTATTTATATAAAAGATAAAATAAATGATTTCAATTGATAAGTCAATAATAACAAATTAGTGTTTTTTTTTTTTTTTTCATTTTTCATTTTTCAATGCTTTAAATGAAAAATTTTTGTTGTTAAAATTTTGCACGATGATAACAGGTTATTATTGAACGAAAGAGAAGTGAAAAAGAAAAAAGTAGACAATCAAATTTGTCACCAATTTTTTATCTTTTTTTTTTTTTGGTGACACTGACAGAGGATAGCATAGGGTTTACAACAAAAATACATTTTAACAATAGCGCTTAGACATTTGCAAGCTATTAAAATAAATCATTATCAGTAAAGATAATCATTATCAATATAAATATGCATATATTCACTTAGATTAATTCATTTTTATATTCACTAAATAAATTTATTTCAATATGTTTAATTTTTAAAATGCATAAAAGTTGTGATTAGTATTTTGAAAAGATGGAAAAAAGACGAAGCTTATTTTATTAATGATTGAAATAATATTTTTCAATTGATCGAAAATATTGATCGAAGGAATAAAAAAAAATACTGTTGATCAGCAAACAAAGGTTAGCAAACAGAGTTATTTTAAGGCATAGTGCAATTTTTGAAATAATATGAAAAGTTTTAGCAATAACTATTTTAGTTTGATTTTTTTTTTTTTTAGTTTAATTTTATTTTTTTTTTTTTTTTTTTTGCTGCATATTTCAAAAAAAAGTGCGAAAAAAAGAGAAATTTTTGCAATAAAACTTTGTCATAAAAGTTATAAGTTATTTATAAGTATATATGGTATATTAAAGGTTAAGTTGTCATTTAATTATTATTATTATAATTTTTATGTTGTGTATTTTAATCAATTTATAGCATTAAATCTAGAAAAAAAGGATAATTAAAATGAATGTATTGGGAGTGTAAACAAATAAATTATTGTTTAATTTAAAAATTCAGAAGACTGAGTTATTGACAAATTTATGCATCAAATTAGTATGAATAACAAATTCGGATTGTAATTATTCGACAATATCAGGCACAGTAATTTTTTGGTAAATTCAACTAATCATTTATCAAATAAATTCTGTAATTAATTTAACAGCTGAAGACGGGTTCTGTTAATACTAAAACAGGTATTCGGAATACCAGGACCAGTAGATCACCTGAAATATACGAGCAGTTTATTTTTCGTTTTCCTTTTTTTTTCTAAACTACGTGAGTTGTTTATGGAATGTAAAAATCTATCAATTAATGAATGCAATGTTCAAAATTATTTCAATATTAGTTGCGTAAAATTTTAAACGCAACTACTTGATTAAAACTTATTAGAACTTTTTCTCGAATTCGCAAGTTAAAAACATTTTTTAATTTAGTAAACAATTTAAAAAAAAAAAAAACTTTCATTGAAACATGCAAAAAATGCAGGAAAGATGATGCTTGATAAACGATCTATACGATCTGGTGTCCATGAAGTAGATTTCCAACTTGATCGACACCATTTCAACTCAAATCCTTCCACCGGATGCATAAACCTTTTCTCGAATTCGCAAACACCCTTTGGACTTGATTCAACTCCTTTGATCTGGATTAATGATAAATAATTAAATTTTTTTTTTGATCAAACTAAATTAAACTACAATTTTCACAATTTTTTTTGATCTTTTATATTCTTTTAGGATCTAGATAACAATATAAATGATACTAAAAGATGGTTTTAGAACTTATTAGGAGAATGATAGTGTAATTAAGAATGATACTATGATCAAGAGGGACACTGTAATCAGGAATAGTGCTGTAATCAATATATAGTCAGGAATGATACTGTAGTCAACATGTAATCAAGAATGATACTGTAAATAAGAATGTTAGTGTAATCAGGAACGGTACTGTAATCAATATATAACCAGGAATGATACTGTAATCAATATGCAAACAGGAATGATACTGTGATCAACATGTAATCATGAATGATACTATAAATAAGAATGACAGTGTAATCAGGAACGGTACTGTAATCAATATATAGTCGAGAATGATACTGTAATCAACATATAATCAAGAATGATACTGTAATCAATATCCAATCAAGAATGATACTGTAATGACTATGTAATCAAGAATGATACTGTAATCAATATGTAATCAAGAATGATACTGTAATTAATATGTAATCACAAATGATAATGCAGTCAGGATGAGTTAATTATTTCATTATACTTTTCTATTTTATAAAAATATATAAATCCAAAAAAAAACTTGCATTTTTACAGTATGGTTTTCTTGGTCGCTGACCGCTTTCCATATTTTTCACTTTTGAACCAACTATTGCTAACTCAATTAATGATGAGAATATAAATGTCATTGAGACTAGCATCCATATATCTAAATAATTTAATATCAGTAATTAATTTAACTTGTACAAAAGAATGACTAAGCATTTGTCTACTTTAATTTATATATTAATAAAACTCATTCAGTCCTTTCATAACATTTCTTTTTATAAATTTATATTTATTAATAATTATTGATTCTTTTATTTTCTAACATTGTAACTATTATTTTAAAATTATAGTTTTAAAAGTTTGATTTCAAATATCTCCCTTTTTTTAACTTGAAAAGAAAAATCAGATTATTTATTTTATTTTATTTTTTTTTTTCAAATAATTGTATAAAAACATTTAAAACATTTACCAATAGCTTTGATATAAGACACTCTAGGTAAATTTCTCATAATATTGCCAAATTGGAATATCATTGCTAGCAGAGCATTAACACCAAGCATCGTTCGAGCTGGTATTGCACGAGGTCCCAACGAAAATGACACCCAACTAGAAAATAAAATTAAAAAAAAAAAAAAAAACGAATTTTTTTTTTTTGAAATTTCTTAAAAAGTCATTTTTAGAATTTGCTAAAAATTCAAATTGTTATATAATCAAAGAACAAAGTTAATTATTTGTTCTAGTGTTATTCATGCTGTAAAAGTTTGCAATCAATCTTTGACTAATATTTGATAAGTTTACAAGCATACAAGAAAATTTAACACTCAAAAGTAAATTTATGATTTTAAACATTGAACATAAATTTAGCAATTGCTTAATTCATCTCATTTGACTAAATTTTATGTGATTATCAGTCTAAAATGCTGAACAAATTTCTGATTTTAAATTTCAATTGCAATTAAACGATTAAAATTAAAGTTTAACTTTTACAATCAGTACTAAATTTTCTTCCAATGGTTGCTTAATTCATCTCATTTGACTAAACTTTATGTGATTAGCAATCTAAAAGACTGAATAAATTTAAATTTCAGTTCCAATTAAACGATTAAAATTGAAGTTTAAATTTTACAATCAGTGCTAAATTTTCTTCCAGTGGTTAAATTTCCAAAAATAAATTACCTAATGAAAATGGTAAGATAAGTGGGAACATAAGCCTGCATGAAATACCATATGCAGCGCCTTTCAAATGTTAAATTCACATGTAATTCATCCCACATTCCGGCTGGATATTTCTAAATTTAAAATTTACATTATCTAAAACTAATTTTAAATTTCAATTCTAATTAACTAATCGAAATAAAGTTACGGTTTATTAATTTGAATACTGAATTAATTACAATTTTATTAATGCAAAAAATTTATTTAATTAAGCCCATATGTGCGTTACTATCCAAATATTTTAACATTAGAATTAAAAAACTTTTTCGAATTATAAAAATTATTTGAAAACAAAAATTTTTTAGTGACAATTGCACCTTTTTTTTTTTTAATTATGAGAGAGATTCGCTAAGCTACAAAGTTTAGAAATTGAATTGAATTGAAGAAATGAAAAAAAAAAAAAAAAATGAGATTCGTATATTTGTTATGAAAAAAATATTAATATTACCTCTATCCTGAGAGTTGATGTGATATTAATTAAAATGAAATCAGGTAGTAATATTTCACTAACAGTATAAACTGGATTAGGATTAATTGTATTCCAACGCATTCGTACCTCTTGATTATTATAATTAAAACTAAAATTAAATTCATTTACTATAATTGTCAAAATATTTATTATCTTCAATTGTTAGGTAAAAATTTTATCAAATAAGTTGAATTAATCATAATGCAAAAAATCCACCTTTTTCTCAGATATTAAAGTTATTGTATTTACTTTTTTTTTTTTCTTTCTACATTTTTCATATATTTCATTTTTACCTTTCATAAATTAAATAACAAGTTTGCACATCCATTGGAAAATTCGATAAATCCATAACACATGGCCCTTTAACTCGAACTCTCTGTAATTAATTATAAATTAATAGTAATGAATTTTACATTTTAAACTTATTGCAATAGAATTAAATCATTTGGACAATTTAGGTTTTATTTTCTTTTAAAAATTTTTGAAACTTTTTATTAAATCATAAATTTCAATTTCAATTTTAGTATTAATAACAAAATATTGGTTATTGATTTAATCTTTTTTTTTTTAAAGATTTATTACTGCTATTATTATCAGTGAATTAAAAAAAAAAAAAAATTTAACTTACATAATTGACCCAAACAGTACCATTTGGATAAAGCATCAGGAAAATATTCCTAAAATGCTAAAATAACAATCATTTATTTAGCAATCTAATTTACTTTGCTAATTTTCATAAAATGAAAATTTATAAACTTTTTTAGTCAATAAATCTTAACATATTTTATTTTATAAAAAGTTAAAATTAAAAAGTAAAAAAGAAGTAAAAAAAAAAAAAAAAAATATTCCTGAAAGGTGATTCATGAATTTCGGCAATTTTACTATTGATAAAACAACTGTTAGGTGTCCAAAGTCGATCCAAAACTTGATGATTTAACGATAAATTATCTTTGCATGGATTATGACTTTCGAAATTTAAAGCAGGATCAAGCCACATTTCATTGATATAAATTTCCATCTAAATTAAATCATTTAAAAAAAAAAAAAATGTTAAAAAGAATTTATTTTTTTTGAAAAAAAGAGTAAAATTACATATTATCAAAAAGAAAATGCTTTTATTAATATTAAAAACCGAAAAAAAAAAAAACCAAAATTATAAAATAGAACAAATAAAAAAGAATTAAATTTATTAAAAAGAAGTTAAATTTAATTTTTTAATCATATTGTATTACTTTTGAGAATTTCATATTTTGTTATTTTTTAATTCATTTATTGCTAATTGTTTCAATAATTTTTGTTCATTATAGATTTCAATTCTTTTTAAACCATTTAAATTCTTTTTTTTTTCTTCTTTAAAAATATTTGAAATTATTAAATTTACTTCATCATTATCACTATAACAGAAAGAAAAACGAAAAATCGCTATAATAATGCTTGAAATTGCACAAAATCACTATAATAGAATGATATGTCAAGAATGATAAATGATATAATGAATTGGTAAGGAATGTTAGGAATAAAAGAAATTCAAACTTCAAATTAAATTGTGTAAATTAAGAAAAAAAAAAACAAAAACGAATGATCATTTCTTTTCTAATTTTTGCAACCTTTTTCTTAAAAATTTTTCCAATTAAACATAGAATAAAATAAATTTAGCATTTTTTAATTATTAATTATTATAAAATACTAATTAATAAATATGCATTGGTAGTAATTAGTTAAAGTAATTAATCAATTAGCTATAAAATTTTAGGTAAAAATTTACCTCAAAATCATTGGTAATTTCATTAATTGATGTAATTGATTGTATCCAAAATTCGACAGCAACATCAACTCCAGTTTCCACTTCAATTGATTGAATTTATTTTAAATATTGCAAGAAAAAAAAATTTATTGATTGATGAAAAGAGTAATAGTTCAATGAGTTATAAACTTATTTTTTTCTAAAAAGTAATAACAAAAATGAAAGGTTAGTTTTTTTTAAAAAAAATTTAAATTAAATTTGATCATATAGCAGATGTTTGATGTGTTATTGACATCAATTCAAAAAGAAAATGTTAATTCGAACAATGAATTTCATTTCTTAATTCTTTGAAATTAAAAAAAAAAAAAAGAAGGAAAGAAAGAAAAATCATTTAATACCTACCATAATCATATAAATTGATTTAAAAAAAAATAAAATTATTTGACAATCAATGAATTTGATAAATATATATTAAATTATTAATAAAATTAACAATTAAAAAGAAAATAAAATAATATAATTTCTGCAATTTTTTTTTAAAATTTGATCTCTTTAACTTCATAAATGTTTCTTTCTTCTTTTTTAAATTATAAATTCCAAATTATTGGAAAATTAGCTTTGCTATTAAAAAATTATTTAAAGATCATTCGAATCAAAAAAAATCAAAAAATCCCCTCAATGACTTTTATAGATATTTTAAAATGTAAATTTTATATATTTTTAAAAGTAGAAAGGCAAACAAAAAAAAAAAAAATTTTTATTTTTTCATCATCCAAAAATCTTCCATCTATCTTTTCCTTCCTTTTTTTTACTAGCAAAATAAACTAATTGAAAATGACAACTCTTTAGTGAATTGTCATTTTGCTTAGATATTTGCTTAGCAATGGCCGCTTGTTAAGAATTATAGAAAATAATAAAAAATAAAAAGTAAAATTATTCTATAATTTATTCACTACAAAAAAAAAAAAAAAAAAAAAGAAAAAATGTCATTTAAAATTTAAATTTAAAAATTTAAACAAAAAATTAAAATAGAATTATTTTTATTATTTCTTATTTCCTTTCTTTTTTGCACATTTATTTTTCATTAAATTTTTATTAATAAAATTTAAAAGCTATTGCTAATAGCCAAAGTAATATGATGTTAGTTGTTTATTAACAAAAAATAAACTTCCTCAATTTGTTTACTTTATTTAAGCTAAATTTTCATTCCAGTTCATTTAATAAGCTGATAAAATGATAAAAAATACATTTGATTATTGATTTATCGCTTTTTTTAATTATTATTTTTTCAAAAAAAAAAAATATCAATAAAATAATTAGGTAAATTATATAAAATATAATTTGTAGATGAGAAAAAGTTGATTTTTTTTTTCTCATCTTATTACAAAAAAAAGGAAAAAATTTGTTGACAATATTAAAATTAATGTTAATATTTTGCACTTAAAATATTAAAGTTAAAAATTCAAAATACGTGCAAATGAATACTTTAAATTTAAACATAAATCAAATTAATTAACAAAATGAGCAATAACGCAACGAAGTAATGTGCACGTTGTAGTTTTATTGTAGTATGAAAAAGTGAACGGCAAAAAAATGTGCCAATGTAATTAGTCTTATCTAATTGAAAATGTTGCAAAATTTCAATCAAATTAATTAATCATTCAAAATATAACGTTTTGAAATTAAACGATCACGCAAACAATTTTTTTGTTACATTTAAAATCTATTAGTAAACAATTTTTTCTTACCTTAAAATCTATTAGTAAACAATTTTTCTGTTACATTTAAAATCTATCACGTAAACAATTTTTTCTTACCTTAAAATCTATTAGTAAACAATTTTTCATACCTTAAAATCTATTAGTAAACAATTTTTCTGTTACATTTAAAATCTATCACGTAAACAATTTTTTCTTACCTTAAAATCTATTAGTAAACAATTTTTTCTTACCTTAAAATCTATTAGTAAACAATTTTTCTGTTACATTTAAAATCTATCACGTAAACAATTTTTTCTTACCTTAAAATCTATTAGTAAACAATTTTTTCTTACCTTAAAATCTATTAGTAAACAATTTTTCTGTTACATTTAAAATCTATCACGTAAACAATTTTTTCTTACCTTAAAATCTATTAGTAAACAATTTTTTCTTACCTTAAAATCTATTAGTAAACAATTTTTCTGTTACATTTAAAATCTATCACGTAAACAATTTTTTCTTACCTTAAAATCTATTAGTAAACAATTTTTTCTTACCTTAAAATCTATTAGTAAACAATTTTTCTGTTACATTTAAAATCTATCACGTAAACAATTTTTTCTTACCTTAAAATCTATTAGTAAACAATTTTTTCTTACCTTAAAATCTATTAGTAAACAATTTTTCTGTTACATTTAAAATCTATCACGTAAACAATTTTTTCTTACCTTAAAATCTATTAGTAAACAATTTTTTCTTACCTTAAAATCTATTAGTAAACAATTTTTCTGTTACATTTAAAATCTATCACGTAAACAATTTTTTACTTAAAATCTTTACCTTAAAATCTATCACGTAAACAATTTTTTCTTACCTTAAAATCTATTAGTAAACAATTTTTTCATACCTTAAAATCTATTAGTAAACAATTTTTTCATTCCTTAAAATCTATTAGTAAACAATTTTTCTGTTACATTTAAAATCTATCACGTAAACAATTTTTTCTTACCTTAAAATCTATTAGTAAACAATTTTTTCTTACCTTAAAATCTATTAGTAAACAATTTTTCTGTTACATTTAAAATCTATCACGTAAACAATTTTTTCTTACCTTAAAATCTATTAGTAAACAATTTTTTCATACCTTAAAATCTATTAGTAAACAATTTTTCTGTTACATTTAAAATCTATCACGTAAACAATTTTTTCTTACCTTAAAATCTATTAGTAAACAATTTTTTCTTACCTTAAAATCTATTAGTAAACAATTTTTCTGTTACATTTAAAATCTATCACGTAAACAATTTTTCTTACCTTAAAATCTATTAGTAAACAATTTTTTCTTACCTTAAAATCTATTAGTAAACAATTTTTCTGTTACATTTAAAATCTATCACGTAAACAATTTTTTCTTACCTTAAAATCTATTAGTAAACAATTTTTTCTTACCTTAAAATCTATTAGTAAACAATTTTTCTGTTACATTTAAAATCTATCACGTAAACAATTTTTTCTTACCTTAAAATCTATCACGTAAACAATTTTTTTTTACCTTAAAATCTATTAGTAAACAATTTTTCTGTTACATTTAAAATCTATCACGTAAACAATTTTTTCTTACCTTAAAATCTATTAGTAAACAATTTTTTCATACCTTAAAATCTATCACGTAAACAATTTTTTCTTACCTTAAAATCTATTAGTAAACAATTTTTTCATACCTTAAAATCTATTAGTAAACAATTTTTTCATTCCTTAAAATCTATTAGTAAACAATTTTTCTGTTACATTTAAAATCTATCACGTAAACAATTTTTTCTTACCTTAAAATCTATTAATAAACAATTTCTTGTTACCTTAAAATCTACCACGTAAACAATTTTATCATACCTTAAAATCTATCACGTAAACAATTTTTTCTTACCTTAAAATCTATCACGTAAACAATTTTTTCTTACCTTAAAATCTATTAGTAAACAATTTTTTCATACCTTAAAATCTATTAGTAAACAATTTTTTCATACCTTAAAATCTATTAGTAAACAGTTTTTCTGTTACATTTAAAATCTATCACGTAAACAATTTTTTCTTACCTTAAAATCTATTAATAAACAATTTCTTGTTACCTTAAAATCTACCACGTAAACAATTTTTTCATTCCTTAAAATTTATTAGTAAGCAATTTTTTCTTACCTTAAAATCTATTAGGAAACAATTTTCAGTTATCTGTAATTACGCATTAACTTATTAAGTAACCAACTGCTAAGTTTCAACAAAAAAAAAAAAAAAAAAAAAGAAAAATTTGATATAAAAATTGTTCACTAAATTTTAATCCATAAAATTTTTCAATATTTAAATATAAATGAAATGAAAAGCTCACTTTTCCGAGTGAATTTATCAAATTATTACTCTAATGCAAAAAAAAAAAAAAAAAAAACTTTGCCTATTTTTTGCGCTTATTTTATAAAACTTTAAGGCAAAAAACAAATATCCCAAACTGATAATAAGACTAAAATTTCTAGCGTAGCATTTTTATATTATCTTTAAGTTTAACAACAATTCATGCATATATATAAATGTAAATATATTTATAGTGTTCAAAAATTTTTCAATAAACATTCAAAAAAAAATTTTTAATTAATTAATTAATTCAAAAAAGAAAAAAATTCATTCGCTTGAACAGATTTTACTTAACTTAAACGATTTACTTAAATGTTCTTAATAAACATTTAAGACGGTTTTTTTTTTTTAATTAACTAACTCAAAAAAAAAAAGAAAATTCATTTACCTAAATAAATTTTATTTAAAAATGATTTACTTAATAATGTGCTTAATTTTTTTTTTTTTTAAATTAGTTAACTCAAAAAAAAAAAAATTCATTTACTTAATCTTTAAGTTTAATAACAGTTCAATTTACTTAAACAAATTTTATTTAAAAATGATCTACATAAAAATTTACTCTAATTTTTTTTTTTTTTTTTTTTTTTTTTTTAAATTAGTTAACACAAAAAATAAAAAAAAAATGAAAAAATCATTCACTTAAATTAATTTACTTAAAATAATACCAAATAATCTATCACAAATGCAAAAATAAACGCATAAAATAAACATTATACATTGTTTCGTAAAGTATTTTCAGAAATTTTAATAACCCTCGGGAATTTCATTTTGCACTTAAAAAAATTTGAATTAGTTCCAGCAACCAACTCTCTAGCATTTAGTTTTATACATTAAAAAAAAAATGTTTTTATTTTTATTTTTGTTTTATTTTATTTTTTTTTTTTTTTTTTTTTTTGTATTAAATTTGACAAACAAGATGAAAATTTTTTTTTTTTTTTTTTTTTTTTTTTTAAATAAAAATTGCTAAGACCAAAAGAGAAAAAAAAAATTTTTTTTTTTTT